CTCATCAACATGACCAAGGCTTACGCTACAGGACCTAGAGGACCAAAGCACTTCAGACGTGGGGACATTCGTGTCCTTCACCGATCTTCTCGCGTCCTGGTCGTAAAGATCGAGACCTGCTGTATCTATGAGATGGTTTATGTTGTACATGCCCCCTACAAAGGCCATCGGGAAATTCAACTTGCTAGCTGGTGGCGAGACCTTAGTGGCCTTGCCGAGAAGTGGCCTCCGACCATTTTGCTTGGGGACTGCAATGCCAATATCCCCAATCATACCGTCTACTCCGAGACCTTGGAGGACATCGTAGTAGGCCATGAGCACCCTGCCTGTGCGCCCACGGCCGCTGATGAAGCTGCCCGCGCATGCCTGCAGTTCGCCACTGACACGGGCCTTTATGTCGAGAACACCTTCAATCCGCACGAAGCAGGCCACACCTTTGTCGGCAAGGATGGACCTCGTCGGCTGGATTATATTATGCTGTCACGCGATCATCATGGCCATACTTCGCGATTCTTCGTCGACTATGCTTTTGACTCCTACGCTGCCGCTGACGATCATTATCCCGTGGTGCTTGACCTGGCATGGAAGGTGATGAAACCCAAGCCCAATAGCCCTGGTACGAAGCTCGACCGCGAGAAGATGCAAGACCCCCAGTTGATAGCGAAGTACGTTGCGATCTTGGACGCTCTTGAGATCCCCCCCTGGCGCCTGGACGTGAACTTGCATCAGCAGCTAGCTGACTCCGTTGTCCTGAACGCAGCCAGAGCATGCTTTGGCATGGATCGCGTCACTTCTATCAAGGGGTACGTCTCGGCCACCACGATGTACCTTGTTCGGCTTCGTAGGTATGTTGCTCGTGCGAGGCGATGGCTTCCATGCCACAACGAACGGCGACCTCCTTGGGCTGATCTTCTGGCACATCGTGCCGACGGTATTTTGTTATTGACGGACGTCCCTTGGGAACCTCAGCTCCAACGCCTACGTCTGGCCATGGAGGCTATGTCTTGTCAGGACCTTTCCACGACTGACTTCGTAGATGAGCTCTCCCTCTTCCTCAGCAACACCAAGCGTATAGTTCGCGATTGTGTTCGAGAAGATCGTCGTGTTTTCTTGGAACGGCTTGGACTTCAGATGCGGCAGCATGCTGAAGCGGGAGACCACTTGTCCGAATGGCGCACGCTGAAGACCATCCTACGCTATGGCGGACGCAAGGGACGCAAGGAGCGCAACCTCATGCTTGTGGACTCCGCAGGCCGACCTGCCATGACGGACGAGGACGAAAGTCGCATCATCATCGAGCACTTCGCCACCACAGAAGATGCCGAGCTCATGACGAACACGGAGCTCGTTACCTACTACAACTCCAAGCTCAATCACAACCCCACCCAGGTCGAGCTGAAGCCAGATCTTGTCCCGAGCATTGGTCAGGTACCAGAGCTTTTTACTACCCTCAAGCGTCGGAAAGCACCAGGTCGGGATGGCATACTTCCTGAGCTTCTCCTTGCTGCACCTAGGACACTCGCACGCATCTACCACCCGATCTTGGTAAAGTGCGCCCTCCACCAGCAGGAGCCCTACGCGTGGAAGCACGGCATCGTACACCCACTCCATAAAGGTGTGGGTCCTGACCACGATCTTGCCTTCTTTCGTTCGATCCTGCTCAACCCGATTATTTCCAAACTTTGGCATAAGTTCATCAGGAGGCAGTTGGCGACTTACCTCCATCACCTCCTTCATGATACTCAATGTGGTGGTCAAGTACGCCATGGTCCGACTCAACTTATCCACTTGGTACATTCATATATAGCAGGGCTCCCTCGACTTCGCGCGGACGGCATCATTGTGTTCCTCGACTTGGTCGCTGCCTTCTACTCTACGGTTCGGCATCAGGTCCTCCCTGCCTTACATCTACATGACGATGAAGACTACGTCCAGCAACACCACGACTTTCCCATCGCCATGCTACCGATGGTGACCTTTGTCCTCTCTCAGCCGGCAGCGATTGACAAGATCGAGCATGAACCACATCTGATTGCACTACTCATTGAAGCTCACCGTGCAACGCATTTCGGTACTCGTGAAGGTGATCTAGTTGCTCGCTCTCGGCGGGGCAGCCGCCCAGGTTCGGCGCTGGCTGATGCCATATTCAATCTTGGATTTGCTGCCCCTCTTGCACTGGCCCGCGACAAGATGCGCGCCCTGCGCCTTTCTACAGCGATTACGATGGCCGAGAACGAAATGACTTTCTCACGCTCCGCTGAGCAGGTCGAGCTTGCGGACGCCTCCTTCGTCGATGATGCGATATTTTTGGGCTGCAACCATTCCGACAGCTCTACCATCGACATCGCTGGTCAGCTACTCGACGACATCCACCTCGTCATGGTTTCCCACGGTTTCCAAGTCAACTACAAGCGCTCCAAGACCAATGTCATGCTCATCCCGCATCGCCGAGACTCCGAACTTTTTCGACTGGTTAGCCAAGAAGGAGAGCTACAACTTCAGACACCGTACTGGAATCTACAAGTGCATCTCACAGAGTCCTACAAGTACCTGGGTACGCCTATCGATGTCCAGGCCAAGAACTCGCATAAGATTAAGTTCGCTATCGCAAAGCAAGCTCAGGCGTTTGGTCCTATTAAGCGTATGATCAAGAGGTTTCCTTCTACGACAGCGATAAGCCACACGTGTTTGACCGACTCGATGTGCAACATTCATTTGCTCTACTCGACTGAAGTGTGGAACAACCTTACTGCGAATGATTTCAAGATGCTGGATTCACCGCGTATTTCCTCCTATCGGGTACTACAAGCTCGCAAGCACCATGCTGGCAGCCTCCGTCATTTCTTCGATGAGGAAGTCCTTGTGAAAGCTATGCGCACTCCGTTGCATGCGGTTGTAAGGCGTCGTCGCCTTATCTACTTTTGCACATTGTTTGCGAATGCTCCCAAGATCCTATTTGCCATGGTGGACTTCGTAGCGGGACTGCCTGGCTCCTGGACGTCCCTCTTGCAGCTCGACCTCCAGTGGTTGGATGAATATGACAAGCAGACCGAGCCCACCACATTGCCTTCAGCCTTCCAGCACATTCAGAGCGACCCGCACTCTTTTCGGCTTCGAGTAGGCCGTGCATGGCGAAGGTTTCGAGCCGCTGAACTTGACAGATTACGTCTAGTTGCACTACTTCGACATCTCCAGCGGGTGCTCGACAATTCCAAGACGGCAACAACTTCTACAGGATTCATATGCTACCAGTGTGGTGTGGTCCTCCTTACAAAAGCCAGTTGGAGGATTCATTTGCTACGCCATCAGCCGCTCGACCTTGCCCAGCGTTTTGCTTTCGATAATACGTGTCGGTGCTGCACGACTAGATTCAGCGATCGTGCCAATCTCATCAGACACTTGCGCCGCCCAGGTAACCGTTGTCTCTACTGGCTGTTGGAAGCTCTCGCTCCTCTTGATCAAGAATCCGCTGCGCAACTACATCAGGAAGATTTGGTTCACCAGCGCGCTCTTGAGCGTCAAGGTTACCATCGGACTCGTGTCAGGATTCCTGCATGCCATGGCGGAGAAGGCCTTAGCCCATTCGAGTATATTCCGTTGGAGGCCCCCTCAGTCCTGGTAGATGTTGAGCCTCCCGTGGGAAGGGTACTACGACGACATCTTTGGAAGCAGGGTGAGCCTGCCAAAGTAGTTTACATTACTACGGGCACGACAACTACCTTTGCATCTTGGGCGACTTCAGTGCTTTCTATTCCATGTCAGTGCATTACAGTGGATGGTTTCACGGATGCTACCACAGAGGTCTTATACTTGGAAATGATGCAAGGAGGGGTATTCGCCCTATTCATTGAGACTGATCTTCCAGAGTGGTCCTGCGATCTTGATCTTCTCGAGCAAGGCCAGCAACCTCGAAGAGATGATCAATGGCGCCCCCACTGGACGGCAAAAAGGCAGCACCATCTTTATCTGGAAAACGAAATCCTCACACGTGCCCTGTATTTGATCGCCACAGCTCGAGCCATGGGTGTTCCTGCTGTGTTGATAGGCGAGAAGCACGTACTTCATCGTGCACTATCCCCTCGTACCGACATTCGGACGCTGCTCGAGCCCATGGGTATCCAGTTCACGACCCTTGACCAGCACGACTACGATGGTGGCTCGTTCGACCACCTCCTCTTGATCAACACGCACCTGAACCTAGAGGCGCTGTGTCGTGTTCCACATGGTGCAGGGGTGCGAGCGGGACGGCTACAGGTCCGTCCAGGTACTCATCGTCTTCTGATCGGGGCGCTGTATATGACCACTTCGTGGATCTCCCATCGGAGCCGAGTAGATATTTGAGCCTGTTCTAGAGGTGGCGGTGGTGGAGGATTTATTTGATGTTGGAGGAGGAGGAATCGTATTTGTCCCTCTCCTTGGCGGCCCCTCGGGTACGTAGGTCTTACTCGTGTTCTGCGCTACCACGGAGTAGTTGCACTATCGAGGGGCCGACCAAGGGGGGGGCTAGGTGGTCTTCCTTAGGGGACGGGGGGGGCACGGGAGGCGCAAGTGGTAAGGCGGGTGAGACAAACCGTCGAGCGCCACCCCAAGCCTCCCCGTCCCCCAAGCTCCTGTTGCGCTGTCGCTCGTCGTCCTGGCGGCGTGCCACCAGGGGCGAGCTACGAGCTCGTCGTCCTGGCGGCGTGCCACCAGGGGCGAGCTCACTGGCTTCCTGCCTGGTACTGGCTCCCGCTGGCCTCATCCAGAATCATCCAGATCCTCAAGGCCCAGGAAGGTTCCTCCCCCCCCTTCGAGGCCCAGCTCTGGAGCATCCTGTCCCTTTTGGCCGCCCCCGTTATCGGGGGCGACCTTCACCACGACCTCCGTGATCCAGTTGCTGGAGGTCGTGGCTCTGCCTTGCCGAGCCTCTTAGGAGGCTCCACCTGACGCCTCAGCGTGCGCGCTTGGCGGCCTGGCTAAGAAAAGAGGCCCGTGGCCGCCCCAGCCCGCCCCGGCCCCGCGTGGGAATGAGCAGCAGCCCGCCGCGGCCGTCCACGCCCGGGTCGTCCACGCGGTAGTCGGTGCCTCTGCCTGCACGGGCCCGCCGTGCGCCCCGCGCCTCTCCGAGCGTGCAGGGCCTCTCCTCCTGCACCCGCCCCCCAGGACGAGGAGGAGGAGCAGGAGGAGGAGGAGAAGGAGGAGAGGGAGGAGGAGGAGCCACGCCCTGGCCTTTGTGCCTCCATTCTCCCCCCCCTCCCCCTCCCTCCTTCCCCCCTTTCTCGGGGGCGCGCAAACATGAATTAGCGATCCATGGATTTGGCGCGGGGTCGCCAAATCCATGGATCGGGGGAGGTGCCCTCCCCAAAATGCGGCCAGTGCCGCCTCGTTCGGCGGCGGAAATCCGCGATTTCCCATGGAAGCGGGACCCGTCGCAAATCCACGCCCCTTCGATCCATGTTTGCGATCGCCTGACGCCCGGCCTCCGGACCCAAGCCATTCCGCCCTCCCCCTTCTCCAGGCCCGAGCTGGATCGCATTGCGAATCGTCGCATCGGATCGGGGCCAGAGCGGATCGCCAGAGAAACTCGAATCGAAATCGGATCGCCGCGCCAGGGTCTGGCTGGCCCCTGCCACCGGTTAGACCGAACGAAAATCGCATCGGAATCGTGGCCCCGGCCGGCGAATCGAATGGCATCGAATCGGGTCCTGGGCGGCCCTGTTCTCTCACGCCATCTCCCTGCTCCCTTCCCCCTCGTGCCTCGGAGCCACGAGGCGACATGTGTCACCACGTGTCGGCTTCCGCAGGATTCGGCCAACCCCAGAACACCTTCGGCGAGGCGCAGCTGCCGGAGCGCATCCCGAGCCAGGGGGACCTCCAGGAACCGACGAACACGTCCAGAAATATCGAACCTCGCACTTCGAATTCCCCGACCCCCCCTTACCCTACAAGGCAAAACGCTTCAATTGCTCTCTCGCCGTCGCAATGAGCAATGGGTGATACTCAAGGGAGGAGGAGAAAGAGGATGTGGGGGACGAAGAGGAGAAGGAGGAGGAGGAGGAGAACTAAGGGAAGCAGCAAACCCTACTCAGGAGCTCAACGGATCTGGGAACCATTACCTGAACGCCTCCAACAAGAGTCCTCGGCGGGACCTGAGACGAGGGGAAGGGGGCAAGAGGGGAGGGAACAGCACGTCGACTCTGTCCCTCCCTTCCCCTCCATCCCAAGCCAACACCCGAGACGAAGCCGGGGCAGAGACAACATCGGACCAAGAACACTCGGTGAACTCTGAGGTCCGGAGGTTCAGGAGGATGCATCGGGAACCGCCGCGGCTTTTCCAGAGCGCTCTGGAACGCTCTGATATCGTGCTGGAACGCTCTGGAACGATGTGTCCCTGTCCTGTGTGTGTGTGTGTGAGTGTGTGTGCCTGTGTGTGTGAGGGGGGGAAACGTGCCATTCTGGGGCCCTGTGAAGGCCCCTTTCTGGGCCATTCAGGGGCCCAAAAGGGCCCTTAAGTCCTCCTTTTCGCTAACCGTCGCGGCCTCCCCATTCTTGGCGGCGCGCAGAGGGGGGTAGGGGCAGGGGGGAAGGTTTCTCAGAAGGAGGCTGCTTCTTAGAAGGCGCGGGCCTTACATCTACAGCTAAGGCCCGCGCTTTCTAAGAGGCAGGGGGGCTTCTCAGAAGCCTCCCCCCTCCCCCATACCACGCTCTACGCGTGGCCGACGTTGACCGCGAAACAACAGGAAAAAACGTACCCATACTATGTTTGTTGACTATTTTTGAAAATTCCTCCTGCAGAGGGGCACGCCCGACTTAACCCTCCCATGAGGCGCCCCGCGATGCCTTCCCCAGTTCGGCAGGCTTGCGTGCGTCCAATAAGACATCGCAGCCCAGATCGGAATCCCAAATCGAATAGAATCGGAATCGGAATCCATCGAAGTCGAATCGAATCGAATCGGAGGCATGGAGGCGAGCCCTGGACATTGATCGCCCCCCTCCCATGACGCGCCCTCCGACGCCTTCCTCAGGTTCGCCCCCTCCGGGCGGCGCGCCTCCGCGGGGGTCCGTCACCGTCACGCGCCAGGAGCCGCCGTGGCTCGCCCCGCGGCCGTCGCCGAGGGGCAGCGTGGAGCGGTTAAGGTTCTCTTTCCTCGCGGGGGGCCCTCCTCCCCCTGGTCTCATCCTCCTCCTCCTCCTCATCATCATCATCATCCTCCTCCTGGCCTTCGCTTTCTCTTCCGACCTGCTCGGTCCTCGTCGTTTCTCTTTCTGGTCTTGAGCAGGGACCGGCCGTCCTGGCATTCCTATCGGCCTACCACAATTTCTTCTTGGAGCCCAAGAATCTTCTCATAACAAAAAGCAGTGTTCTTACAACATAAGCCCGATACGGTACAACTAGACAGAAACAACCAGAAATGCTCTAAGAACATTTCGTCAGAACAACAGAGGGTTCTTTTACCTTCCTCGCGGAAGACCTCCTCCCCCCTGGTCTCCTCAAGGCCGCGCTAACGGCGATGTTGGGAATATGATGTTTGTGGCACCGAGCTCGCGCAGAGCAGATCGTAGGAGATCACGAGCCACACTATCCCGCATTTCAAATGTGCGAATGTGTCGAGCGAGAACGACGCAGCGAAGTGTAGGAAAGCACAAGCCACGATGTCCCACAATTGGTTTGGCCACGAATCAATCCCACCTACAATGCCGAAGCCTACATCGCCGTTACCCACATTACCATTCGCGCGTCTACGGCTGATTTCCTCTTTTGCCGTGAGCCCGTATCGTAAGGCTGCGCGGTAAGGATGCAAGGGGCCTTGAAAGGCCATGTTCACGATCCTCGAAGGCTGCAGCCCCAAGGGCGAAGGGCAACATGTAAAGATGCAGGGGCAACCTCCGAAGAATTGCTCCTTGCTGTGCGGATTGTCTGTATGCCTCCCTCATGCCTCATACACCTGCCAATTCTCTCTTTACTCTCCGACTCTCCTTCTCTTTCTCTCTCTGTCTTTCTGTCTCTCTCTCTCTCTCACTCTCTCGCTCTCTTCAGCAATTCACAAGAAAGTGGCCCTCGGCAAGTGTCACCTGTGGTGCGAGGCTTCAGAGGGCCGCGGCGGGGGGGGGAATCCAGAGCACATGCAAATGCTGGGGGGACCCCTTGTGGGCCCGAACCCAAATGCCACTCCGACGAAGGGGTACTTTTACGACTAGACGGTCTCCTTCCCTCTCCCTCTCTCGTTCTCTCTCACTCTCTCCCTCTCCCTCTCTCTCCATCTCTCTCTTTCCCAGACGCTCTCGTTCGGCTCACGGGATTGTGCTCTTCGACCGACGGGAGTTGAGGTGGCCGGCTGGACCACTGGCCCCAGACGCCGAGCTCCTGTGTGAAAATCTCTTGCGAAAGTGACGGCAGTGTCAACCAGATGCGCGCCTCGCTCACCCAGGCAGGCTCGCAGCTCGTGAGAACACGATGAAGGCAACCAAAGGCCCGAAGCCTCTGGAGAGCACTCAGCATCTATTCAAAGACGAAGCCAACATCAAATTCACCCTTTTTGTCCTGGTCGCGTCAACCCCTGACTGCCCTGGGACAAGGAAGATACGCTTTTAACGTGCCCGAATTTGCAGCAACCGCACACTGAATAAATGACCAGGCGCCCGCATTTCAAGTCTCACCATGGGCCACTCAGCGACGACGAGTGCCTTGAGACGCTGGCTGCTCTGAAAGCGCCAGGCGTACACAAGTGAAGCACGTGGCGCACCCCGGGGACACTCAGCGACAACGAGTGCTCTGAGACGTTGGCTCCTCTGAAAGCGCCGAGCGTACACAAGGGTGGGAAGGGGGCCCACATCCTCTGCCGCGGACCGCGCCCAAGCGGAAGGCTGCACAGAGCCCGTGACCGCGGCGGAAGCGATGCGAACATCAGAAGCCGACCTCCTCCATAGAGCCGCTCGGCGGGCCCGCGGGCCGCAAAAGGCGGAAAACATGCGCACGGCGCCGGCCGTATGGCCGCGCTGCCGCCACGTTGACGGCCATAGTGCCAGAGCCGCGCAGGCGCCACGGCCGGGAATTCTTGCTCATCGTGCCGCGACGGCGGCTCCGGCGACACGCCATGCCCTGCGAGCTGATAGCATGCCGCTCCGATCCGCGGGGCGGGAGGGTTGGGAAAGGCTTGCGACGCTGATGCTTGGGAACTGGGGCGTGGTTAGCGCGTTGCGCCGCTGCGTGTTGGGCCAGAACCGGCGGCGCCACACGCTAAGCAAACGCTGCTGACCGTATAAGTCAAGGGCGGCCAAGAGGGGGCTGTCCAAGAGGAGGGAACGCAAATCATGGCCGCTGGCACGTGCGTGGTTCAGGAGGGCCGGGGCCATATCAAAATAAGAAGAGGCGCCATGACATGTGGGGAGATATCATGGCCCCCGCGATGAGATCAACCGCCGCCCAATTGTTCCCCCCCCCTCCTGGCCGCCCCCGACAGAGGAAGCACGAATGCCCCTCTGCCACCAGCGCGGACCAAGGTGGTGCACAGGGCAAGGGAGGGAGGAGGCGGGCTCCGCTCGCAGAGGTCTGTGCTCGGGGGAGCGCGGCGCAGCAGGGCGGCACCACGCGCGGCCGCTATCCTCATCTCCTGCCCTCGGACGACGCGCATGGGGCGGGCGACAAGGGGGCAGCGAGGGCTGCAGAAGAGTAGGGCCCAAAAGGGGGCCTCGAGGGCCCGAGAAGGGCACCTTTCTCCCCCCCATCCATCTTATCGCCCACGAGTAAGTCGCGCCCAGCGTCCGTCCGTCCGTCCTGTTAGCTCCTGCTCCCTTTCTCCGTCTTTTTCATTGGCTCAGCGCAAACACGGTCCAATCCGAGGCCGCTCCCGGCTCCAGGCGCAGCGGCGCCACAGGCAGAAAAACAAAAGCAATAAGGGGTGGGCGGGCGGGGCAAGCGGTCCCACCCTTGAGCCCCAAACAGCGGCAGACACGCGGCGAGCGCGCGCGAGACTGAGACACGACGAGGGGCACCAGGGAGTCTAACTTTGCTTCACCTTTGTGAATCCGAATTAGCTCCTGCTCCCTTCCTCCGTTTTTTTTCATTGGCTCCGCGCAAACACGGTACAATCCGAGGCCGCTCCCGGCTCCAATGCCAATGAAGGAAAAAGGGGGAGCGGCGCAGGAATGCGGCACAGCGGTGCCTAATTTTTAGGGCCAGAATCGTCGACGACCCCCTGCGCCAGCAGGCCGGCGGCCACCTCGTCGCCCGAAGCTACGGGCGGGCAGAGGCTACCGATCGCCAGCCCCCCCGCGCGAGCATGGCTTCCACGCCCGACGCGGCAAAAACGTCCGCGGCCGCGCCCCTCCGGACGTCGTGGCCGAACCACTCCTCGGGATTCGCGACCCCGAGAGCGCGCAGATGGGAACGGAGCTCGGCTGTCCACGTCTCAGGGGTGTATCCGCCAAGCGGGCGGCCACCGAACCCGAGGAGCTCATCCCACACGGGCAGCCACGTGTGCAAGCAGATGCCTTCATCCACCCCGCACGTACAGAAAGCGAAGACCGTGCACAAATCGATCCTCTGCTCCCGGCGAACCGGTCCATACACGAAACGACCGCCCTGCGCCTGCACGCGAGCGCGCATGCATTGCGCGAACAGCTCGGATGGCATCCGCAAGAGGAAATTGAGACTGAGACACGACGAGGGGCACCAGGGAGTCTAACTTTGCTTCACCTTTGTGAATCCGAGTTTGCACGTAGCCGAGCGCCACGTGTCTATGGTCAGCCGCGCCCGCTGCGCACGCGGCGGAGAAGCACGCGCCTGCGGCACGGGCTGCAGCATTTGCGCTTCGCTCAGGACGCCCTAGAGCTCAAGGAGAGGGCGAGCGGGAGGGAGTCCGTCCCTCCTCCTCCTCCTCCTCCTCCTCCTCCTCCTCCTCCTCCTCCTCCTCCTCCTCCTCCTCCTCCTCAATGCTGCTGCGCCCTCGTCCTCGGACCCCCCCCCCCTCGCCCAGCCGACGGCCCCCGCCTCTGCAGTGTGTTTCGCTGGCTCTCTGCTGGAAGCGCGGGCGGCTCTCCACTGCTCCGGGTCGGACTCGCAGAGGGTGCGCGACAAGGAGCGCACCATGTCGTCGGCCGCAGAGCCGTATCCCCTGCCGGGGCCGCTCTGCATCGGCACCCTCGCCAACATCGCCCCCGCATCTGCGCTCGATCGCCCCCTTCTCTTCCTGACCCCCTCCTGTGTATCCTTCCATCCCTCCGTCGTTTATCGTCCCTCGACCCATCTCGCTCGCTCGCTCGCTCGCTCTCTCTCTCTCTCTCTATCTCTCCTTCTTTCTCTGGCTCTCTTGATTCTCTTTATGTCGCGTGTGTCTCTCTCTCTCTCTCTTTCTCTCCCTGTCTAGATCTGCATGTGCATGCGTGTATGTGTGTAAAAGAGTATATGTGCCCACACGTCCCTTTATACATACTTACCTACGCAGAAGTACATGTGTGTACATACGATTATATAGGTGTGTTCGTGTGTGTCTCTATATCTCTCTGCCTCTGCCTATCTCTATCTCTCTCTCTCTTTATCGCTGTCGTTATCGTTAACGCCCCTCTCCATGTTTATAGTCATAAACGCATAACAGAATGAGAAGATACGCCCAGTTCTCTTGTGTCAGAATCCATCGCGCAGCTTAGGACACGTTGGTGCAAACCAAATGTCGTGGCCATGGCCTGCGAGTCCGACTGGTAAGTTCCGCGCCAGACGACCTGCGTTGCTGATCAATGTGCTGTGACAGCAGTGCTCATTCTTCCACATCTGATTTATATTGGCAAGGTAAACTCATATCATAACAGATCCAGGTTTCAACTTGGCCAAGCTCCGTGCCAGCCGTCGAAATGCACAGCTGCAATCAACGACGGTGGCTGCGTCAGCCACAAGGAAGCCTGTGCTGCTGTGGGGTGCTGCAGAAACGCCAGGGCAGGATAGCATTGGTGGGTCTCTGCACACTTCAAAAGACAAAACCATGGCGCCCCGTAAAACAAGCTTCGTGAGCGGTGCACGAGCTCTTAGCAAGAGCTGGCGCTCGGAAAAACTTCAGAGTAATAGCCAAATCCGGCGCCCACTCGCTCGGGCCACCTGGCCCACTTGAGAAAACACTGAATCCAAAACCTGTTGTCGTCTCACTATTCACTGCACTGCCTTCCGCCGACCTGCTGCTTAGCATGGGGGGAAGCGGGTCCCGAGGGAAACGGGTCCTGGTCCCTGGGGGCTTCCCCCAGGACGAGATCTTCCTCCCGAGTCGTCTTCTGACACTCCAGGGGCCCGCGAAGGGCCCCGGGGAGCCAACAACGGCGAGAAGCATCAGGACCCGCTGCCCTCAGGACAAGGTTCCCCCATGTTAGCGGCGCTCAGGAAGGGGGTAGGGGAAGGGGGGAAGGCTTCCTAGAATGCGGCTCCTTCTTAGAAGGCACCAGCCCTGCATCTATAGAGAAGGCCCGCACCTTCTATGACTACCTACCAGACCATCCCAACCCGACCCGAATGCCTGAATTTCGGGTTGTTGCGATAAGGGCCTCATATGTATTTTCTAAAAATGGTCCCCGACCCTTCCCACTGGAAATAGAAGGCACATCGTAACCTTCGGGTTGGGTTGGGTAGTGTAGTGGGCGGTAATTATAAGAAGGGAGGCTACTTCCAAAATAAATTCCCCCTTCCCAATGCCCCCTTCTGCGCGTGGACGATCATGGCGAGTCCCACTGCTGCCGCCGACTTCTTGCCTGCTTCCACTTGCGGATCCGCCACCGTTTCATCCCGGCCGACGTCCGCCCGCCTCCGGCCGAGGGCGAGGACGCACCCAGGGCTGGGCCCCTTCTTGGACGCCCCACCTCTCAAGTGCTTCCCCCAACCCAACAAGGGTTCCTAAGTTCGGGCTTCGCGCTGTGCGAAGCGCGAGGTGCGAATCACTTCACGCTCCCGCGCCCCCCCCCCCCCAGGGTGCCCCGGGTGGGGCCCCATCCGCGGTCGTAGGCCCAGACTGCGAGCCCGAAGCCGCGAAGCACCTCGCGCCCCCAGGGGGGGGGCCCTTGCCCAGAAGACCTTCCAGCCTGCGGGGCCGCCGGTCGGAGAAGGTTGCCGCTCGCATTCCGCCGCGCTCGGGGCCTGCGCCACATCCTGTGGTGGCGCCTCGTGCGCACCGCCTGGGGGCCCTGCCTCAGCCAGCACCAGCCAGAGCCAGAGCCCCCGCAAGGTCCCTCCGCGCGCTTCTCGCCCGACCGCCACCGTTGTTCCCTCTTCCCGCTTGCCCCCTTGCTTTCCTGTTCGTTCCTGGCTCCCGTCCGAATCTCCCGCACTTCCCCGGCCCCATGTTCAGGTCGAGAACAATTCGATGGAGCAAACGCGGTTGCATACTGATACTCAGTTAGCTCGGGTAGTAGAAGTTAGCTTGGGCAGTAGACGGATGCCAGGGCACACGCGCACATACACACACCTGTTTGCGGAAGCGGCCTCTGGCGCGGCGACGACGCGGAGTCATTAACGACTCTACGTATGCGCAGGGTCGTGGCCGGACCCTCAATACTCGTTTTGGATTCTGCAGCACTTACCGCCATACAGCACATCCGGGCGTGGATGGCAGTCAGATGACACACGAACCGAAGGCCCTGCCCGACGCGGCAACATGAGAAGACGGAATAGAGCCGTACAGCGCATCCGGGCGTGGATGGCAGCGACGCTACTCGACAACCGAGGGCTGTGCCCGACTCGGCAGCATGAGAAGAGGTGCGACATGAAAACATCCGGGGGCGTGGATCGCAGAAATCGGACACGCCGCGCCACTGCAAAATGCAAATTCGAGACATGCTCGGACCAGGGAGTGCGAGATGACGCACCCATGCGAACATGCGAAGCGCAGTCTCGAGCCCCGAAGCCAACGGAGGAAGGCGGCGCGGGGCCGATACACACACCTTTTTCCGTCGCAGCGCGGCAGAGGCAATCCGCACGCGCGTCTGAGCGAAACCGGGGCGCGGAATCGCGAATTAGCCCGCATGCACAAGGGGGGGGAAGGAGGGGAGGAGGCGGCCGTAGGGGAAGGGAAGGACGCGGGGGCGCACTCACGCAGCGAGGCTGCGGCCTGTGCGTGAGCGCGGCCTGGCTGAGGGGCCAAGCAGGTAACAGCTGCAGGTCGGCGTCGCCCTGCACCCAAGGAGGGGGGCCAGCAGTCACACTGAGGGCGAGGCCCAACAAAACGACGAGTGGGAGTAGCAGGCGGCTGAAAACCAAGTTTCAGGCGGGGCGGGGGCGGCGGCGCTGGGCCGGCAGCGGCAAGAGTTTCGCCAGCGTTGCAGGCCGATGCGCGCACGCATTTTTTTTGTTCGCGTCGCGGCCCCGCGTTCGGCGACAAGGCGGAAAAGGATACACACTTGAACACTTTTTGGCGTCGCAGCCCTGCGCGCTGCGACGAGGCGGAGAAGATCGTAAAGCACCAAGCGGGCGCGTGCGACTAGGACCGCCCGAACCCTCAGAGACCGCCCAGGGTCCCGCAGCGGGCGGCAGTCATAAGCCATCTGGGCGGGGATGACAGGGAGAGCGGTGGAACCATAAGGCAACGGTGCGGTTGATGTGCCAGAAGCCATCCGGGACTGGATGGCGGGGGGAGCGTGTAAGCAGCGCGGAACGATACGGAGACCAAGACAGATCTAATAGCTTCAACGGGCAGGGACCTACACACACACTTTTCCGTCGCAGCGCAGCAGGGACAATTGGCTCGCGCGCTCGAGTAGTTGGAGCTGAGCGGCAGCAACAGAAAGAGACAGGGCAGAGGGCGGCCGCGGAGCAGGAGAAAAGGGGGAGAGCATTCACAGCACGAAGGTTTTCGGCGTGAGTGGCCGGCGCGGTTGGCCGTTGCTGAGGCGTCCTGGCAGTGGACGTGGCGCGCACACAGTTTTCCAGTCGTCGCGGCCACACGCGCAGCAGCGCGGCGGGGTCAGGCCGACAGGGGCGGCAAGAAGGTCTCGAGCGGCGGCCGCGACCCGGCACTCTGGCGGGGGCCGGAGGGAGTGCGCAGGGCTGGACACACACACACACACACATACATTCGCACACACACACGCACGCACGCACGCACGCACGCACGCACGCACGCACGCACGCACACACACTTTTATTAGCGTCGCCGCCCCGCGCGCAGCGACAGGGCGTAGCAAGCGAGCGCGGGCGCGTCTCACGGCCGAGAGCTCAAGCCGATCAGAGCGAGCAACGCCGCGGCCAGCCACAGGTCATCCGGGAATGGATGACGGGGGGGGCAGACGAGGTGAGCAGGAGGTAGTCAACGGGCAGGAAACGACACACACACACACACACGCACACACGCACACACACACACACACACTTCGGCCGCACATCTGGGACAGTGCAAAGCCGATCGGCCCCCTCTGGGCAGTGCAAAGCCGATCATCGCTGGGGCCGCCCGCCAGGGCAGCCCCGCAGGCGCAGCCAGCCACGCCAGCCTGGACACCTCCCGCGCTGCCCTCTCCCTGACACTGCCCATCCGCGGTGTTCGGCTTCTGCATTGCACCACGCTCCCCGCCCGCGTGTGCGGCGACCTGCCGTCCTGGGGCTTCCTGCCTGCCTGTCTCCGGGGAGTGCGGCCCTCGACTCTCGAGCCCGTCCGCCCCTGGGCTGCTGCTCGCTCCAGGCGCCCGAGGAGGAGGAGGAGGAGGAGGAGGAGGAGGAGGAGAAGGAGGAGGAGCTCCTCATCTGCCATCTCCGCCGCCCCTTCTGACTCGCTCGTGGCGGCGAGGGCCGGGGTGCCCGTCCTCCCCTGCGCGCAGCGGACCGCGGGGGTGGCCTCGAGCGCGCGGCCTGCCGAAGCCGCTCGACCAGCTGGTCGCACTGGGCGCGGTCCTGCGCGAGCTCGAGCGGGCGGACAGGAGGAGGAGGTGGAGGAGGAGCTGACACAGGACAATGAGATGCTCTGCCACGCATGCGTGAAGACGCTTAGCTCTCTGAAGCGCTGTGCACGCGAGCGGGGCCGAAGAGTCCAGCCACGTGGTCGGGCTGCCAGGAGTGACAGGGCATGCCGCGGAGTGAGGCTCAGAAGGGGCACGAAAGGGAGGGGAAGGGAGGCGGAGGACGGAAGGGAGCGGGCAAAGAGAAGGGACTGGCAAGGAGGGATGGGAGAGAGGGGGGAAGGGGGGGGGGGGGAGAAATGGAACGGGGGAGCGGGGAAGGGGGCAGGGGGACGAGGGAGGCCAAGGAAGGGGGGGACAAGGGGGAGTGGGGGAGAGGGGAGGGGTGAACGAGGGAAACGAGGAACGGGGTGAGGGGAGGAGGCTTGACTGCGATGGGGGAGGCGAGAGAGATGGTGAGGCCGCAGGGCGAATGGGGGAGGGGAAGGCGAAGACGGGGGCGAACAGGGGGGTGACGCCAAGTAAGGAGCGACGCAACTTCTTCTGGCCGCTGCGAGCCTCGGCCACCAGCCGGGCCCCGTCCCAGATCCGAGGAGCGCCCGAGCAAGCCACAGGGGAGGAGGGGCTGGAACGACGGTCGTCGCCGCCAGACGCATTCCCCAGGTCCACCTTTCACGCATCCGCCGGCTCTGTGAGTGAACTCGCGCTGCCACTAGAAGGCCTCAAGCCGAGCTGGTAGAACATGGTATGGAGCAGAAGTAGAGGAAGAAGCAACCGCACAAGCGTATGTCTTGGGTCTGTGTTGTAGCACATGAGGGAACAGAAGGGAGCAACAATTAGGTAACCTAAAGTCTGTAGCATGCTCCAGGAGAAGCTGGGCCCTGGCTACTTAGCATACGGGCCTGTGCATGCAGCCATCGTCAGCGAGGATCTGCGACTCGTGGGGCACAGCACCAAACTCCTTCTCCTCGTCGTCATCCTCTCCACTATCACTCCTCCTCCGCCTCCTTCTCCTCCACCTCCCACCCGAACCACTCCTGCTCGTCCTCCGCATCTTCGATGCCTTCCACTTTGGTATCGTGCGGGGTCCTGAAACTATTTGCTATCAGACGTCCTCCCTCGTTGCCGCCGTCGACGTCGTCATCCTCCTACTTCTTCTCCTCCTCCGCCTCTTCGCCTTTCGCTGCACATCGCGGAATCGCCATCAAAGCACCGCTCCGTTGCCGCCGAAAGTCCTTTGCGATCACCAGCACGGGAACGCTCTCCCGCGCCTCGAACGCGACCTGCGCCGGCTGCCAGGCGACCGCCCCATGGGCAAATTTACTTCGGAAATGGAGCGCGGACATATATATATATATATGTATATATATACACACACAAGACTGCAGTGGCGCTTTCGCGCCATGCACCTTAGTCCTCCGTGTTGCCTTTTCCAGCATCGCCGCTAAAATGACGTTATTCGTTATCCTTCCTTCATACTTCATGTCCCCGTTCTCGCCATACCCTGCGCATTTTCCCCATCCGCCTCAGCTCTTTTTGCGGAGGCTCCTCCTCGGAGAGCCTCTGGGGGCCTCACACAAGTTTTAGGCTTTCTTAAGGCCTTCTGGAGGCCTCCTGGGCCCCAGGCGTGTTCTGGAAGTTCTGGGGGCTTCCTCGGGCCACCCTGCCTCTGACCGCGGTCGCCCTGAACGACCGGGTCACGATCTGGAATGCTTCGGAGGGTGTCTTGGGGCCGTCTTGGGCCGCCATGGGGCTCTCTTGGTGCCATCTTTGACCCTGTTGTGCCGTTTTGGGGCTCTCTTGAACTGCCTGGAAGCCTTATCAGATGGTTGTGGGGCGATTTTGGAGCCTCCCAGGCGGCTCCGGGCGCCCAGAAGACTGCCGTATTGGAGCGTCGAGAAGCCGAAAAGAGGAGAACCCAAAATTCACCAAAAACCCGTAGAAAATATATGATTGTTGCCTCTTGGGGCCTTCTTGGGAGTGCTCTTGGAGGCTTTTTGAAGCCTTTGGGGCCGTCCTGGAGGCCTCTTGGGCCATCTTGAGGTCACGTCAGTCACTCTTGGAGCGCTCTTGTGCTGTCTTGGGGGTCTCTGGGACGTCTCCGATGACCCCCCTGATCGCCCTAGATGTGCTGGGAAGGCTTGGCGAAACGCCCTGCGAGGCCGGGGGGGCCGCTTCGAGGCCCGTCCGGCGGGTCCCAAAGCCCCAGATCCCGGGAGTCCGGTTTCGGTGTGTGTGTGTGTGGTGTGTGTGTGTGTGTGTGTGTGTTGTGTGTTGTGTGTTGTGTGTTGTGTGTTGTGTGTTGTGTGTTGTGTGTTGTGTGTTGTGTGTTGTGTGTTGTGTGTTGTGTGTTGTGTGTTGTGTGTGTTGTGTGTTGTGTGTTGTGTGTGTTGTGTGTGTTGTGTGTGTTGTGTGTGTGTTGTGTGTGTTGTGTGTGTTGTGTGAGTTGTGTGAGTTGTGTGTGTATGTGGGGGGGGGTTCCCCCCGCGCCTGTGTGTGGGCTTATACAAAGTAGGAAGAGGCATATGGGATGCGGAGATGCTCGAAAGGATCTGCGCCTCCACCCCCACACCCCTGAGCGGAAACCCCTGTCTCTATCCCTCTACACTTCCGCTTCCCTCCTTCCTCCTCCTCCTCCTCATCATCATCATCACCAAGCTCCTCTCACCACCTCCCTGCCTCTTGCCTGGCCTGTCTGCGTGCGGTTGCTCCACCTCTCCTCCTTGTTCCTGCCTCCCTCCTTGTCCCCTCCTCCCGCTCCATGACTGCTGTCTCCGCCCGACCCCACTTCCGCCTGCCCGCTGCAAGGCGCTCCCGAGAGGCTCGCCGGAGAGCTCCAAGATCACAGGGGGCGACAAGGGGGGGGGCCTGCCTCTCCCAAGCGCAGGAGGCATCAACGCGACGTCGCTAAGATCTCGTGTTTTTGCGCCAGCAGAGTTTTGGCGGAATGTGTATCCTGTGCGTCGAGCGTGTTGATGCTGAGCTGCGCTGTCAATGCCTCGCTGTCCTGGGGCTCTGCTGCGATCCTGCTCGCTAATTTGACACATGTGCGGAACTACGCTGTCAGTGCAACGCCTTTTCTGTGGCTTTGCTGCGTTCCTGCTCTGAAGTCAGCCATGCCGCTTGAGGCGGCGGAGATGGGGAACTCAAAAGGTACCGATACCGCGTCTCCCCAGACCTCTGCTGGGGTGCGTTCCGACGTTCCGACCATGATTTCGAAGCGAATCCAGTGGCGACGAGGGCCTCCGAGGCCCCAAAAGGGAAAACGAGGAAAGGGTAGAGGTATGGGCACCTTTGCATCCTCTGAGGGGAGCTTGAGAGATCGATCCAACGAAACGGTCCCATCAGCCTCTCGGCGTCTCCCCGCAACTCCGCTTCACCGGTCGCCCTCAAAGAGCCCACGGGTATGCCAGGCAACCCCCCTTCTCTCTCTATCCCCTCCTCCCGCCTCCTTATCCCCGTCCGTTGTTTCCTCCCTCATCGGCCTCTGCGCGTTTATCCCCACATGCATATCACTATCCCTGTCTCGTCCCCCCTCTCTGGTGTTTTTCTGTTTCTCTGTTTCTCTCTGTTTCTCTCTCTCTCTCTCTTTCTCTATATGTCTTCCAATTATTTTCAATACCTCTATGTGTTTCTCTTTCTCTCTCTCTCTCTCTCTCTCCCCCTTGATCTTCCCCTTTCACTTATTTCATCCGTTTGTATTGTTATGTTGGTGTCTCTCTCTCCCTCTCTCTCTCTCCCTCTCGCTCTTTCACGATCTCTTCGTCTTTCCCTCACTCTACCTCTCTTTTCCTTTCACTTCCCCTGTCTGTCTCTTTCTGTCTCTCTTTATGTCTCTCCCTTTTTCTCTTTATGTATCTCCCTCTCTTTTCGTTGACGATCCATGGGGCATTCCTCCCGACAGTTTTGCATGTGACGAGGGGGACGTACTCGGCCTGGGGGGGGCCCTCGACAACGACGAAGACGAACCCTTGCACGTTACAGGCGCAGCGGACCCACCTGATTGCCACAGGCGGCGACGGCCACGACGCGGACGATGATAGTCCACCTCCACGCCCAAGCAGGCACACGACGACAGCGACCCAGGAGATGGAGGTCCACCACGATCCCACCTCAGGCACTCCACTGCGACCCATGCAGAACCACACAGGGATGGACCACGCGGAGGGCAGTGCGGACCCTACTGTCCCACGCCCGGCGCAGACAGCCACGCTCCAGGGCACAAAACTGCGCCAGCAACGCCATCCGCCTGGCCTGGGAGAGGACCTGCGCATGGTAGGCGAGGGGCCGCGGACTGCGCGGCAGTGGCCAGCTCCGTCGCCTCAACCCCCTGGGCTGGCCCGCGCCGCCGCACACCCAGCCCCCCATCGCAGCGTGTCCCGCCACCAGGCGAATCTCCCGCCCCACCAAGGAACGGGGACAAAGAGTCCTCGTACCATCCAGCGGGGTGTAGGCGCCCGAACGAGCTCAGCACCGCGTACCGCTCGGATGAGTGTCCTCACGCAGCGCCCCACTCCCCTTCGGCCAGGCCACAACCTCCACAGGATCGCCACGCCGCGTTCACCACAAGTATCATGGCGCTGCAACAGCGTGCTTCCGACCGCGCACTCAAGCTCAGCAACGCCCAGGAACAACCCAGAGAGTCCGGCCATCTGGAACGGACTCCAACCAGCCTTCCGCACGCCTGCCCCAACTGGGGCCGCTTGTTGCTCTCCATAGGGCACCAGGGCTGACCGTCTTCGACAACACGTTCCGTAGGCCTGGCACCGGGCCGCCGAGGGGGGTGTTCGAAGGCGGCGCCTTCTCTTCCACAGGGGTCCGTGGCGCGCAGGCCACAGCAGCGTGTTTCAAGCAGGTGCCTCTCTCTTGTCACAGGGGTGCAGAAGGGACGAGTCCCGCCTGTATTATCACGTCCGGCTCTGCTTTCCAATCGGGGTCCCTTTCGACCGCGCCAGGGGGGGAGTCTTCTTGTCGCCACCCCTGCCATTCACATGCAGCTCCTCCCGCCTCAAGAGGTGCGGGCAGAAGGTGACGGTAGCCTCCCGCCCGCGGACGGACTTCGTTCGGCACGCCTTCATCGGTGCCCTATATCCCTTCCTCTTCCCTTCTCCCTGTCCTCTCTCTCGCTCTCTCGCTCTCTCTGTCTCTCTCTCTCTCTGCCGCTCTCTTTCATTATATATTGTTTCTTTGTTTGTGTATCTCTCTCTCTCTATTCCCCCTTCCTCACTCGCTCACTGTTTACGCTTATTGTTTATCCTGTTTTGTTGCTCACTCTCCCTCTCTCTCTCTCTCAAGACGCCTGAACTAATCCGGGACAACTTCGGTCCAGCGTGATTCCGGTTTGGGCCACCGACGCACAAACCAGCAGCTACCCCTCACCGCCCCCAGCCCTGATGATTCGGGAGTGCTTCGACGCCCGAATTATCTGGGATAACTTCTGTCCAGGGCAACTTCAGTTTGGACCCCCGCGCACGAATCAGTAGCTACCTCAGACCACCTCCAACCCTGATAACTCGGGGCTCTGATCTCTCCCTCCCTGATCTCCCTCTCTCCACCCCTCCCCTCTCTCCACCCGTTCACTTAGATCCAAAAAGGACCAGCTGCAGACATACACCGATTCTGGCCAAGCCCGACCCGGGCCAAAGCTCGGTGTGGAGCGCCCTCCTGGCCAGCCTTGCTGGTTGATCAAACGCAGCGAACTTCATGGCGGCACACGCCCAGATCAACTACGACCGAGCGTCTGCCTGTGGATGGCAAGGACGTAACTGACGCGTGCGGGGACATGGGCTGGAGCCGGTACAAAAACAACGTGGCGACATGCAAGCTGATACACACACACACACACACACACACACACACACGCATGTTGTAAGCCGGCGGTGCAGAGGGTCCTCAGGCGCGGGCGGCACGTGGAAGTGCCAATTGCGACGAACATTGGCGAAGGCACAGTGTACAAAGCGTCGCACTGGCAATGCACACTGTGAGAGACTTGTAAATCCACACGCACCCACACGTTTTGGCGTTGCGGTCCTGCGCGCAGCGACAGGGCATAGAACACACACACACACACAGCAAGCGCACCCCGAAGAGCTTCAGGGTTTGGATGCCGCCCGCCGCTCGGGCGGGTCGCCGTGCCTTGCCCTGAGATCCGACGCTGCGAACAACGTAGCACCACCGCCAGACAACACGATCAGAGCCTTAGACCTCATCTCTCTGCGGCACTCAGTCGGATCGATCTGTGATGGCGCCGTGGCCCGACACTGGGCGGAAACGCCCGATCTGGTCCCATCTGGCGCGCTGAATGGGAACGATCTTATGAAAAGCACTAGTTTCGCTTGGGGTGCCCTCGAAAACCACAAAAAGTCGTCTGGTCTCATTCGGCGCCGAATGGGCTCTCTCCTTTCTTCCAGGCGATGGATTTTCACACGTGAACGACGACAAGAAAAGCATCTCACGCATGATGACATCGCGACCTTACGCGGTGGCTTACGCGGGACACCAGTGAGGCACGCCATGCTTGAATTAAGGACGCTCTTGCTCGATCTTACGTGGGCAGCTTACGCGCCAATGTCGGCACAATCGAACGCGTTTTTCTGCGTCGCACACTTGTGAAACAAATGCTGGGCAAACCCAAAAAGGTACCGATACCGCTACTCCACGTCCCTCTCCTGGGGCGCTGTCCGACCAGGATTTTGAAACGTGGTGGCGACGAGGGCCTCCCAGGAGGCGCAAAACCCAAACACCCGACGTCGTGATTTTGTCGAAACGTCGACCCCAAAGGTCTGGACCCCCTCTCGGGGACCGGCTTGTCGTCCTGAGTCGTTTTTGACACTCCCAGGGCGCGGCGAGAGCCCCCGGAGGCCGAAAACAGCGACAAACCTCGGATGATGTTTTACAACGCGAGGAGGTCTGGGATGGGTATAACTTCTCCTCCTCCGAGATGCATCGCCCGGATCCTGCCTGAGAGCCCAGAATCAAATCGACAAGTCGTATCGGTTATCGAAATGAGTTGGATCGGCGGAAATCGGCAGCCGAGCCGGGAGATGTCGAATCGGCGGAAACCGCCAGGCCCGTATGCCTCCAGCCAGGAATCGGGGTCCACATCGGAATCCGAAGTCGAATCGCATCGGAATCGGAAACCATCGAATCGGAATCGGAATCGAACTGGAGGAGTTGAAACCTAGCTCCCCGACGTCATGATTTTTTCAACACGTCGATCCTCAGGGGTCTCGACCCGTTCCCCTGGACCGGCTTTCCATCCTGAATCGTTTTTTGACGGCCCCAAGGGCCGGTGAGGGCCTCAAGAGGCTGAAAATTAGGAACAATCTTCCGTCGCGATTCCGTCATTGCCCGAGGGGGCCTGTGTCGGAGGAATCGCAACGAGCCCCCCGCCCCAAGCGCCGCCACGCCCCCCCTCGGGGATCTGCTGACCCGGGTCAATCCAGACCCGGGTCAGTCAGGCCTTGCTGAATCCTGCAAGATCCTGCGAGATCCTGCACCCAAGCCCGGTTCAAAATGCGAAGGATCCCGCAAGTTCCTGCAGGATCCTGCGCCCAAGCCCGGGTCAATGCGACCCAGGGCCTGCAGGGTCCTGCAAGATCGGGCGCTCTGGCTGACCCCCGCCTGCCCTGACCCCCGTCTCAAGGCTCCCGACCCCCCTGGCGCACGCCACTCCCGGCCAGGGCGCGCCGCCCCCTCCCCGCGGGCCTCGGCCAGCCGGGCAAGCTGGGCGTCCGGCGTGGGCTCCTGGCGCGCCCCCGCCCCCCAAACCTCCTCGCGCGGGGGGGAAAAAGTCGCGACGGGAGGTTTCCTCTTTTCGGCCTGCCTCCTCGCGTGGTGACAAAAATCACGACGGGAGGTTTCTCGCTCTTTTCGGCCTCCAAGGGCAATCGCTGGGCCTCGGGACGGTCAGAAAACGAGATGCAAGATGAACAAAAACACGACGGCGGGGGTCTGCCCCCTCCCCCCCTGGCCCAGGGAGAAGGAAGCCGTGAGATCCTGGCGTCGCAATTGTTACGAGCTGGTCGTTTTCCTGTATCTTTTCGGGTCCGGGGGCCCTCACAGATCGATCGAGCTCGACGAGTTGCGCAGAAAGATCGGGTCCACGGCACCGGTCGTAATTTCCGCTATGTTTTAACCATCCTGTGGTGTTGGGTCCTCGTTTTGAAGAGTCAGCGCCCCACGTCACCTCCTCCTCCTCACTCCTCCTCCCCTTACTCCTCCTCCTCCGCGAGGTACTGGTGATGTGCCAGGAATGGTGTCGGGTGGAACCTGAGTTGTTCCCAACCATCCTGTGGACTTAGGTCCTCGTTTTGAAGAGACAGCGCCCCGCGTCTCCTCCTCTCCTCCTCACCTCCTGCTCCCTCCTCCCATCCCTTGCCTCTGCTCTTCGCATGCCCATCACATTCTGGCACAGGAAGCTCCACCGAAGGCCCCAGCGGCCGGGTCCGCATGCGGGGATCGCCACCAATTTTGGCACACCCCTCACAAGGAACGTGGCCCCACAGGGAGCTCCACCGAAGGCCCCAGCGGCACGGTCTGCATGCGGGGACCGCCACCAATTTTGGCACACCCCTCACGAGGATCGTGGCCCCACAGGGAGCCCCACCAAAGGCCCCAGCGACAGAGTCCGAATGCAGAGACAGCCAACCATGACGGCGCACACCTCACACCTTTTGTGGCCCCACAGGGAGCTCCACCGAAGGCCCCAGCGGCAAGGTCCGCATGCGGGGACCGCCACCCATTTTGGCACACCTCTCACAAGGATCGTGGCCCCATAGGGAGCTCCACCGAACGCCCCAACGGCGGGGTCCACATGCGGTGACCGCCACCCATTTTGGCACACCCGTCGCGAGGATCGTGGCCCCTGCAGGGAGCCCCACCAAAGGCCCCAGCGGCAGGGTCCGCATGCGGGGACCGCCACCAATTTTGGCACACCTCTCACGAGGATCGTGGCCCCACAGGGAGCTCCACCAAAGGCCCCAGCGGCAGGGTCCGCACGCGGTGACCGCCACCCATTTTGGCAAACCCCTCACAAGGATATTGGCCCCACAGGGAGCTCCACCGAAAGCCCCAGCGGCAGGGTCCGCATGCGGAGACCGCCACCCATTTTGGCACACCCCTCACGGGGGCCGTGGCCCCAGAGGGAGCTCCACCGAAGGCCCTAGCGGCAAGGTCCGCATGTGGGGACCGCCACCCTTTTGGCACATCCCCCACAAGGATCGCGGCCCCACAGGGAGCTCCACCGAAGGCCCCAGCGGCAGGGTCCGCATGCGGGGGCCGCCACCCATTTTTTGCACACCCCTCACAAGGATCGTGGCCCCACAGGGAACTCCACCGAAAGCCCCAGCGGCGGGGTCCGCACGTGGTGACCGCCACCCATTTTGGCACACCCGTCACAAGGAACGTGGCCCCACAGGGAGCTCCACCGAAGGCCCCAGCGGCACGGTCTGCATGCGGGGACCGCCACCAATTTTGGCACACCCCTCACGAGGATCGTGGCCCCACAGGGAGCCCCACCAAAGGCCCCAGCGACAGGGTCTGAATGCAGAGACAGCCACCCATGTCGTCGCACCCCTCACACTTTTTGTGGCCCCACAGGGAGCTCCACCGAAGGCCCCAGTGGCACAGGCCGCATGCGCCCGACACCCATTTTGGCACACCCCTCACACCGTTCGCGGCCCCATATGGAGCTCCACCGAAAGTGGTATCCACAACGCGGTACTCACAATTGCCATGGTCGGGTCTTTCGCTCGGATATTTTTCGAGACCTCGGATCTCATGAAACGCACCACCAGCACCACCTTGATCGGCGACAAGCGAGGGAGGAAGTGAGAAGGACAAGGCCCTGTCAAAGGCGGCGAGACTTCTCAGAAGAGCCCGAGCCTTCTCAGAGACTTTCTGCGTCTTCGGGGAAAGCTCCGGAAATTCCTCAGAAGGCCGGAGGACTTTCGAACCTTCTGAGACACCTTCTCGCTCGCCGCCGACTGGAGGATGGAGGCAGAGGGTGGTGGTCAGAGGGTAGATGATGTTGAACACCCGCATCCCGCACACCAGCTCATGCAGAATCCCCGCAGGTCGTGGTGGTGGAGGTGGTGCGCTTCCTGTTCCCAACCTGCCTCTGATGCCCTGGGCAGGAAGCATTATTTTGGATGTTTCTGCGACTAGATGATGTTTTTGCTTTGGTTCTGGTGGGTTTACTTGCGTGAAGGGGGGGGGGGGGGGGAAAGGTGTGGGGGAGGAAGACGAGGCCCGCCGAGAGGAAACTGGACTTCGAACAAGTCGGGACTCACTTGCACGCCTTTTCGGCCCAGCGCGGTTTGAAAAGGCTTCGGGGCGGTGCGCGAAATGCCATGCAAATAAACTCGCCCGAGCCTAGGAACAAACACCCTCTAACCCGCGATATCCGCAGGCAGGGGGGGGTACCGTCAACCTGACAAACCTTTCCGCTCTTGGCAGCCCCACGTGTGCCCGCGCGAACCCCCTTTCGGATCTGGGCAACCGACGAGGTTATCTGCTGGGATCGGCGGGGGGGTTGCTAAATGGATAGGCGGGTTACCAGTGGGCGCCACAGGGGTTATACCTGTCCAAACCTAGCTGGTTACCTAATGGATTGCAAATGCCCCAAGTGGCTTGGCGGGGGGGATAGCGATCCAGGCTAAGTGTGCTTCGCCCACTTAGCGGAGTTGTCGGATCCCCCTGAGCCACCAGGGGCATGTGTAACCCACTTACAAGCTAGGCTAGGCCGGGTGCCACCCCTCTGGCGTCCACTGATAGCCCGCCTATCCCCTTAGCAACCCCCGCGCCCGTCCCAGCGGCGGGCCTGGTATCCTGGTTGATCGCCCGACCCTAGGAAGACAAAAACCATCTCCAGCTGATCTCGGACCGCACGGAGCAGCGAGAAAACACCGAGCAAAAACACGATGGGGCCCCGAGAGACTCCGGCGATGCACCTGCTTTTCACCTCCCCGCGCCGTCGCCCGGACCCCGGGGCCCTGGGGACCACCACGGACCGCTCGGGCCTCGAGAACCGCCGCAGACAGGTGTGGTTTAGGGTCCAGGGACAGGGGGTGCCTGGCATAGCGGGGGATGCATCGACCTGGAATCGGCGATACATCGCCGATAGATCGGCGATAGGCCTCCGATAGTGAATCCGCACCTTCCTGGGCTGGTTGGGGCTATCGGGCCCTTATCGGCGATCAATGGGCGATTGGGGGTCGATGCACCCCCCCTCTGCCTATCTCCCCCTATCGTTGCCCCCGAGTGTGGTTTAGGGCCGTTTAGGACCCAGGGCTCCGGTCGTGACTTCGGTGCTGCATCATTCCTGCTCGCAGCGCTGGGCGTCAGAGGGAAGGAACCCGCCTCAGCACCCGACATCTGAGGGCTGCCGCGGCCGAGGCGGGAGCTCAAGCGGAAGCGGGCCCCTTCCACCTCTGAACCGATGGCCACCCCAGCTGCCCCGCCAGTGATCACACCTCCAGTCTCATCGAGCATCATCATGTCAATATTTATTCGTCATCGCTGGTGCCAGTGAGCTGGCCCTGAACTGCGTAGTCGACCCCGCATTCCAGTGCATCCTCACGCGCCCTCGATCAACCCTATCCTATCGTAGCGAGTGCGTGTCCGCACCTCATGGCCAACATCGTTGACCAGCACTATGCACCAACCTTCTATGTGGTATGTGCATTTGCAGTCGCAAGTGGTTGGCTTGTTGTTGCCGTTCTCAAGCGGGCTGTCCCGGAAACGCTGAATTCCCCCCAAAAAAGGCACATCTGGGGGAATACTTTCGCCGGCCTTCGGGCAGCTTCCGATGGCGGAGCCGCCCTCGCTTTACGTATGCCACCTTACTGGCCTTCCCTTAGCGCCTACGCAGCTGCAGTTGCGTGGTAGGCCACACGCACACAATTTTACCGAAACGGGGCCCCAAGAGGTGCAGGTCGACGGCATATGCGACTCGCGAGCACGCAAGCCGCCGAGAGCTCCAAACACCCACACCGCGGGATCCAGTGAGAGAGAGGTGTCGACTTCTCGATCCCTCGAGGGAGATGGGACGCAGAAGGACATACTAATACTGTGTCCCCCTTGGAAGCGCGCGTCCGACCCGAGCATATCGTACAAGAATCTTGTAGTATACCGTTTCCCGAGCGGTACGGCCAAGAAGCCCCGGCCTCGGCGGAGCACATAGTATAAGACGTCTCGGTGCGCTCGTCGCCCTGGGGGGCGAGACGACGAACACATAGTGCTGGTAGGCTGGGATGACGCGGAAGGACGGCATTTGCTAGAACGCCCCACCGGCACCGTCCCCAGAATTCCGACGTCGTGATCATATCTCATGACCCTGAGATCCGACGTTCCGAAAAAATAGCAGCATCGCGAAGAATCACGACGGGAGCCCCGGACCCCATCTTGCTGCGCCATTTTTCGAGCTGGATCGATCTGTGAGTGTCCCGGGGCCCGAAATGATTTGATAAACGCTGGGCTCGAAAAAACTGCGACGCTTAGGGAGGGAAGGCATTTGCTGGAACGCCAGAAGTACACCGATCCCAGACCTCCAACGTCGTGGTCACATCTCACGACGTGGGCCCCTGGAAGCCTCGGCACCTCCCCTCCGGGACCGGATCTTCGCCAGGAGCACGGCCCCGGGAGGGCTCGGTAGGAGGGCCCCCCGATGAGCAGAGCATGGCTCGAGTCGTGCGTTCCCGCGGATTCGACGCTCCAGCAAAACTGGATCGGGCGGTGTTGGGCCGTTTTCTGCCTCTGGGGGCCGTCGCCGGGCCTCGGGACCGTCAACCAACGACTGGGGACGAAAAGCCGGCCCCAACAAAGTCGTCTAAACCTCCGGGGCCCACGCATCGAAAAAATTGGAGCAGCCGGATATCTGACAGTTTTCCACAACGGAAGTCGGAGCAGGGCGAATCAAGACAACGGCAGCTCAAACTTGGCCCCTAGACCCCACCTGGGCTCCCTGGGCTCCCAGGGTCCAGGCGAAACAGTTCTCCGTTCTGCGTCCAGACGTGGGGACGTGGGGGCTAGCCGAAGGCCAACTTTCGCTGTCTCCGCTCGCATAATTCTCTGACCGAACAACTGGGGGTCGCTCTCGACTCTCCAGAATGGCTGCCCAGACCCCCGACGATATGACTTTTTCATGACGTGGATCCCTGGAGGTCTCGACCAATGACGTCGAACCCCGAACGATTCCCTGGGATTGGCTTCTCATCCTGAGCGGATATTACGGTCCCGAAACCCAGCAAGATCCCGAAACAAACAGGTAGGACACATCCTTCCGCGTGATTGTTTCGTGACTCGAGGGAGGGGGGCGAGGAGCGAGGAGGAGGAGGAGGAGAAGGAGGAGGAGGAGCAAGAGGTGGAGAGGGAGGAGGAAGGGAGGTGGAGGGAGGAGGCACACAGAGGAGGAAGGGAGGCGGAGGGGGGGAGGAGGACGAGTAAGGGAGGAAGACGAGGAGCGGGACGACGACGCGGAAGGAGACGAAGACGAGGCGGCGGAGGAGGACGAGGAAGGGAGGAGGACGAAGAAGGAGGGAGGCGGAGAAGGAAAAGAAAAGAAAGATCTCCAGGATGACTGCGGGGCCGCGCCCGCCCCTTCGCTTCCCGCGCCCCCCCCCGCCCCTGCCCCTCCACGTACACGGGGCGGCGGCCGCTGCCGAGCGCCACCGGCGTGGCCTCCCATGGGGGAGCCAGGGATCCAACGGAAGAGGCACGGAAGCATGAGGGGCCACGAGTCAGATCGGTAATCGACGTGGATCGGATCGGCGGGAATCGGCAGTGAAGCCGGGAGAAGGCGAATCGGCAGAAATCGGCAGGCTGGCGGGGCCTCTGTGGAGAAACCGAGCTCCAAATCGGGATCCGACAACGACTCGAATCGCAATCGGCATTGATCGAAACCGAGTCGAATCGAGTCGGGGGAGTCGAAATGAACCCTGCGGAAGGCACGCGAGAACGGGCAGGGACGATCAAGAAAGCGACCCAGACCCCCTCCGCTCTTGCAAAAAAACGTGACAGGAACTCTTTCGCTCCGACTGCACATAGGAGTGACCAGGCTAGAGTGACCTTTGGTGCGCGGCTTCAGGGGCGCTGCCGCGCCGCATCAACGATCGGCGGGGCGCAACTCGAAAGATTTTTCGTGCCAGCGGGCAACCGCGGAATTCCGCCGATAAAACTCTAGCGCCCCGACTGGCACTTCGAAGGCGCTGCGAAAGCAGTCGCTGCCGGGGGCCACCGCGATGAGGCCTCACACTGCTGGGCTGCATCGCGATGACGTCTGACCAGGCCCGGCGTCATGGCCCCAACCAGCCCCATCCGAGTGCCCGCCCCTCCCCTCTGGGCGAGAGGAGAGGAGGACGAGGAGGACGCCTTCGACCATAACGTTGCAAGGCCCGCCGTGTGCCTGCCGCAGCATGCCGCTGCAAGGCAGCCTATAGTCTCGGCTACACGCAGGAGTGACCCGTGGTGCGCGGCTTTGCGGGGGCCGCGGAGGAGCAAAACGCGAGCGCGCAAAACGCTACGTACCGTGGCACCGCGCTGGGCGATAGGGGGACCCCCGTGTGCCAGCACCAACGGTCACTCCGGCGAAAGGTCACTCCTACGTCTAATCGGTAGTTTGATCACCACCGCCAGGGCCGCCGGGGGCGGGGGGGAGAGGCTACGGTCGAGGATACCCTCAGCCGTCAGGAATCAGGAACCAGGAGGATGAGGGTGAGCCCGACCCCGACGTCATGATTTTTGTCACAGCGTCGACCCCCCAGAGGTCTCGACCCCTTCCCCGGGACCAGTGTCTCGTCCTGAGTTTTTTTTTGACGGTCCTGGGGCCTAGTGAGGGCCCCTGGAGGCCGAAAGTGGAACAAACCTCTCGTCGCGATTTTTTCCCAGCGCGAGGGGGTCTGGGGTCGAGGATACCGTCAGTCGCAAGGATCCCAGAGGCAGGAGGATGAGGTTGACGGATCGCGCCTCGCGAGCCGCGAATCACTCCGAGCGCCCTCGCGGCAGCCCGTGCCGCAAATGCGGGGGTCGGGCGGCCAGAACCTCGTTGGACGAGGAGCCCCTGCAGCTTCGCGCGCCCTCGCGCCGCCCCCCTTGGGAGAGACTAGGAGGACGAGGAGGACGATGATTTTTTTTTGTTTTGGAGGAGCAGGAAATGGGAGCGGACCGCGACAATAGACACAACTCGCCTTGCCAAGCGTGCTGGCAATTGTCGTGTTCGTCGCCAGGCTGTCCTACGAACGTGGCCGAGACGCCAGTCGCGGAGGACGGCTTCGGACCTCGCCACGATTACGTTGCTGCTTGCTGTAGGCGCCCGTTGGAGCGGACAAATCCTGCCGCCCCAGGACAGATGATGAGGACCACGCGCGAGCAGCGAAGAACTGCGTGTCCTCGTGGCGGCTCATGGCAAAGACCCTGGCCCCCGAGGTCAGGATTTCTGTAGCACAACGTCGACCCCCAGAGCTCTCGACCACTTCCCCGGGGCCGGCTTTTCGTCCTGCATCTTGCTTGGGCAGCTGCAAAGCCTGGTGAGGGCCCCCACTGGGGGCCGAAGACAGCGCACAGCCTTCCGCCGTGATTTTCCTCACGACTCGGGGGGGTCTGGGGCCGGGTCTGTTTCGTGGCGACATCCGAATCCCCTACCCCAACCATCTATCCACTTCCCTGAATCGAGGGGAGGCGGGGGCAGGGCTCGGATTTCGCCACGTGTTCGACGAATCCCGAGCCCTACGGCAGGTTCGCGTCGTGTCGACCCCGGCGTTGGTTCCTGAAACCGCGTGGATCGCTCCAACCTTGAACGATCGGCAGCTTTTTCATCGCCCGATCGTTCCATGTAGGCCGATTCTGGGCCACTGGCGACGTTCAACCTTGAACGTCCGCGGCGGGGTCGCCGCCGGTCGACACGACGCGAACCTGCCGTGATCCCGCCGCCCATCGAGCTGCCCGAATCGTTGCTCGGCGAGGGCAGGGCTTCCGACTCCGCCGCCGAGTCGAGGGCACCGGGGTCAGGAGACCCCCGCGTCGAATCGACAGGTCGGACACCAGCGATCGGCATGGACCAGATGTCGGGCGGGTGGTAGCGGGGAGAAGGCTTCTGCGATGGAGGCTGCTTCTCCTTAAAATCGGTTGCACGCAAGAGCGACCCTGGGTAAGAGTGGCCTTTAGTGCGCGGCACTAGGGGGGCGCGGGGGCGCCAAACCCAAGCGCGCAAGCCGCTGATATCGCAGCGCGTTCGGCGATCGGGGGACCTATTTCGGCCCGCACCAAAGGTCACTCTGGCGAAGGGTCACCGTTACCTCTAGCCGACAAAAGGCGCGGGCCTTGTCTGTAGATGTAAGGCCGGCCCGTGCCTTCTAAAGAGCAGGCTCCTTCTAAGAAGCCCTCCCCCCCCCCTAGACAAGGGCTGTCAGTGGGCCCTGCAGGGTCCCTTTTGGGTCCCACCCCTCGCTCGCTAGTTGCCACCCGATCGGATCGGAGGAGATCGGCAGCCAAGTCGGAATAAGCCGACGCGGCGGAGATCGGCAGGCTGGTGAGGCCCCCACTGTGGAACCGAAGTCCAGATCGGAATCCGAACCCAGGCCCCCGACGCTCTGATCTTCATACAACGTCGACCCTCATAGGTCTCATTCCCCTGGGCTGGGTTCCCATCCTGAGTCGTATTTTGACGGTCCCGAGGGCCGGTAAGAGCCTCCAGAGGCCGAAAATCAGGCAAAGCCTCCCGCCATACTTGTTTCATGACCCGAGGGGGTCTGGGTCCGAAGTCGAATCGAATCGGAGTCGGCCGAGCTCGAAGCGAACCGAGGCGGAGGGATCGAAACGAGCCCCGCGGCGGGCGGGCGGGCGAGTCGCGGCCAGAACCTCGTGGAACGAGGAGCCCCCGCAGCTTCGCACTCTCTCGCGCCGCCCCCCAAATTGGGAGGGACGAGGGGGACGAGGAGGAAGAGGGTGAGGAATCGCGCCTCGCAAGCCACGAATCCCAGACATGATCGCGTCGAAAAAAAATCAGGATGAAAGTTTCGCTATCCTCGGCCCCAGGGGGCCCTCGCTGGGCCCTGGGGCCGTCAAAAAACGACTCGGGATGAAAAACTGGTCCCAGGGAAAGGGTCGGGACTTCCAGGGACGCCGCCCTGAGAATAGCGACAAACCTCCGTCCTGCAGTTTTCACGACGCGATCGTGTCTGGGATTTGTTCCTTCCCCCGGGAAGCTCTGGGGACCGCGCCCTCCCGGCGGCCCCCGTGGCGCAAGACGGCGGCGCAGAGGCCAGCAGAGGGCGCGGGCCGCCTCGTGGAACGGGGAGCCCCGGCAGGTCTTCAGGAAGGGCGGCACCTCACTGGCCGAGGCCGCGGCTCGCGCCGCGCGGGGGGGGGGCCATGACCCTGGTGTGCCTTCAAAGCGCCCTGGGCGTTCTTGTTCGCGTTGCCTACGTTAGGCTCTTGACAGGCGTTAAACGCTAAAAGAACAACGCAACTTTCTTTGTGTGTTTAGGGCCGTTGTTTTGGCGGTGTGTTGTTTCTGGGGGCGTGTTTGTCAATCTAAAAACGCTAAAACACGCATCAAAACGCTGAAACAACGCATCATGGTTTTAGCGTTCTTACTTTCATGTTGTGGCCTGAAAACGCTGACAACTATTCTGTCCAAGACGCCGAGCTGAAAACGCCCCCAAAACGCCCTGGGCACATTCAAGGCGAACCAAGCCATGACAATTCACGCTCGAACAATGCGATCATTGAGTTCAATATGTGTTTGAAATGTAGGGAAGATGTTCTAAATAATGTTTGGAGCATGTGTCTAGACATCTAGGGAATATTTGGCAGCACGCTCCCTCTCCATTGATGGCCGTCCACAACACGAGAGATCCCGGAGCTGCAACCATTGTTAGAATGTGCGTCTCCATCCATTTAAAAGAAGCCCCAGGGACAGACACACATACATATACACAAATCCAAGGGTTCCCATCGTATTCGTACGTTTCCTGGGTTTTCGTCTTCCCCCCACTTCCTATAGTTCCCGATATTTTCCGACGATTCATTGTGTCTGTCTGTGTGTGAATGTGTGTGTGCCTGTGTGTGAATGTGTGTCTGTCTGTGTGTGTGTGTTTGTGTCTGTGTGTGTGTGTCTGTGTGTGTGCGGGTGTGTGTAGGTGTGTGTGTGTGTATTTGTGTGCGTGTGTATGTGTGTGTGCGTGTGCGTGTGTGTGCGTGTGTTTGTGTGTGTGTGTGTGTGCGTGTGCGTGTGCGTGTGCGTGTGCGTGTGCGTGTGCGTGTGCGTGTGCGTGTGCGTGTGCGTGTGAGTGTGTGTGTGTGTGTGTGTCTGTGTGTCTGTGTGTCTGTGTGTGTGTGTGTCTGTGTGTGTGTCTGTCTGTGTCTGTGAGTCTGTGTGTGTGTGGTTGTTCCCGTCCTGACAATTTCGGGCCCCAGGACCCTCACAGATCGACCCGGCTCGAAAAATGGCGCAGAAAAAGCTGGGGTCTGGAGTCCTGGCGTGAATTTCCACGCTGTCGTATGTTTGTTCGCCACGTCGGACCTCGAAGGGCCGCGCCCCAGAGCCCAGGGCAGGGCGCGGGTGAGCGCCGATGGCGGTGGAGATCAGGCGTGCGACTGCTGGCAGGGGGCCTCCCCAGACACGGTCGCGCCGTAAAAACAAAAAAAAAACACGACGGAGGTTTGTCACTGTTTTCGGCCCTGGGGGGGCCCTCGCCGGGCCCCGGGGCCGTCAAAAAACAGACTCAGGATGAAAAACCTGTCCCAGGGAAAGGGTCGGGACTTTCAGGGACGCCGTCCTGAAAAAATCAAGGCGTCGCATGTTTTTCCTCTGGAGCGCGTCAGGGAGGGGGGCCCAGCGCGGATCCGAGAAATCCGCGCGGACCTCCAAGTGTTTCTGTTTATGTTATGTTTTGTTCACCCTAAGTGGAGGCCAGTCCACAAGAAGCCCAACCCTGAGACCCCAGGACGTCCATTGGTTTTGGGTGCGGGAACGTCACGCTTTCCATCGCAAGACCACCGAAGCCAGAGAAACCCAGGGCAAGCTCGAGGCGAGCAGGGTGTTTCTTGGCATAGGTCTCCACTGCAGGGCAGGCGCGAGCGGTGCCCCCAAAAAGGGCGCCAGAGGCTCGCAGGACCGCCCGTCGGAGGCGAGCCCCGAGGGGGTCCGCAAGATCAGAGCGTGGGGCTCCTCAGGCGGGCTCGCCGCTCCGCGCGGGAGACCCCCTGTACAGGTCGGCGGCCTCCAAGATTTTCAGGTCGGACACGCCCCTGTACAGGAGGAATATTCGAAAGTAGCCCAAACATAGTCTGGGGAAGATTTTTCGACTACGTTTGCTTACGTTTGAATATCTTTGTGGACTACTGCATGTTTCTCGTCTAAAACCCGCCTCTAGGACATGCCCCAGCTAATCCAAGATGGATGGGCCCCTTGGCGGCCCCATCTCCGCCCCCCGAAAGCCCAAAGGGAGTTCCGGAATGGGCTGCAGGAGAAGCCCTTGGGGCCAAAGTTCTGCGTTCGCGGGCCCAGAGAGAAGGGCTCAAGCGAATCGAACTTCGACGACGCGACTCGCAGGTACGCTACGCCAGCCTGACCTAAGCTGATCGAGGCCGGATCGGCTCCGCTCGCTCAGCCCAGCTCTTCTAAGAACTGGGCTGTGCTAACCTCCAAGAGCAAAGTCTTTGCACTGAAACAAGATTGACATACCAGTACTATCTCAACGAACAGTCGGGATTCCCCCTTTGATGGAACAGTGCTCCTCGACCTCCTGTCTCATGACACCACGCCCAGGAATCGCCTGAGTGGGCGTTCTAGGGATACGCGAGGCGTCACACATTACAGAGTGTTGAGAACTAGACGCTGTCAAGTGCAAATGCTTCGGTTGATGATCTTGCTCTTAGTATGACTAAAACCTGACCCAGAGAAGCATATGAAGAGATGCAACACAACAGGAGCACAAGACAGAAGCGGGTGCTGGCAGGGAAGAAGCCACATCATGCAAAAACACATGGCGGCACCTCGAAAAATGATGCCCGGTAGGTGGACTCCAAGAACCTTGGAATTACACAAGTGAGGCTTGTCATAATCCCGCCGTTCATTCATCGTTCAGCCGTCGACCCCAAGTGCCGCACTTGCTCAACATGCCCCACGCCTCCAATACGCGCGATCCTAACACGCGCGCAGGGACCAGGAGAACGTCTCCTCTGCAAGCATGTGCACGAGCGTGGTGTGACACCCTGGAGCACCTCGGGAAGATTCGGGCATTCGCAGCGACGCATCTTGCCGCTGCGCCGTCTTGCTAGAAGTTCCGGTCTGCCTGGCAGGGGGCATGCGCAGCGCCACTGTCCCGACTCCACCAGCAAGAAACACAAAAGGAAGACCCTGCGGCCTCGCCCCAGTCCTGGAAGAGCGGCGTCATTTCAAGAGGCTGGAAAGCTTAGCGCCTCTTTGTCCCGACTCCGTCGTCCGTGTCCATCTCTCTTGCATGCTGGTCAATTCGCCAGTCGGTCGCCCCGAACTGCCACACGCTGGAGCGGCCACCGGCAAGAAGCCCCAATGGAAGACCCTGTGGCCTCGTCGTGATCCCAGAAGGAGCTGCTGTGCTGCAAGAGGCTGGCATGCGTAGCGCCGCTGTGCCAAGGCTCCGCCGGCAGGAACCCCATGAGGCCCTGTGGCCCCGCCCAGGTCCCCGAAGAGCGGCCCTGGCGCAAGAACACCCTCGCCATCCCCGGAACACTGCCTCTCGGAACCGCGGCCGGAAGGCCGAGTGACCCAGAGTGTCGCCACTGCGGGGGTCGTCCTCGAAATCTTGCCCACCAGGGCTGCACGCCACGCGCTGCATCGGTAGATCTAGGTGCCCCGCCAGCTCGGCTGACGGCGCAGAAAGCACACCTGAAGCGTCCCAGACAGGCCCAACCGGGGCAGAGCACCACATCGCGCTCGCGCATGCCAAAGCGGTCCTTGCTAGCGGCGAAGTCCAACAGTCAGCTTTCTCAGCTCGCGCTCGAAAGTGCCAACTCCAGATGAGTGCTGCAGGCAACTAGCAGGACGTCCAGATCGCTCGCCGCGCAAATCATAAAAGCACTTGGCAAGCATGATGAATGAATATCGGCAATGGGCAGTGCGGGCGGGAGTTGATGGGTTGGTGGGGTGCAATCCAAGTCGTCCCAAACAGCACACAATCTTCCAACAAAGGTGCTCGATGTGAAGCCGCCTACAAAGAGAGAGAGAGAGAGAGAACAAAAAGAGAGAGAGAGAGAGGGAGAGACAACCATGGCGAGAACGATCAGCGACAAGTGCCGCAGGCACGCAGCTGCGGATTGCGGATGAGAGTGAGGGGGCGGGGGCGGGGAGGGGGAGTCGCCGGCAGCCTGCGAAGCTCGAGAGAGAGAGAGAGAACAAACAATTGGGAGCGGCCCTCTGCCGGCGACGAGTTGGTATGACTACGCTGCACGATGCCAGGCGCCGGTCTTCTTCGCTGGAGCAGCGCGAGGGGGTGGGTCGCGGACGGGTCGCGCGGGCGGGTCGCGGGCGGGTCGCAGGCGGGTCGCGAGAGGATCGCGGGCGGGTCGCGGGCGGGTCGCGGGCGGGTCGCGGGGGCGGGTCGCGGGGGCGGGTCGCGGGTCGGGAGGGGCGCGGGTGTGCCAGCGGGTCGCGTCGCGGCGTCGCGGGGGCGGGTCGCGGGGCGCGCCGCCGGGGCGTGCTGTGGGCGACAGCGACGGCAAGAGCGACAAGGGCGACGAGGCGCACTGCGGAGCCCCACTGCGGCCACGCGCCCAGGGACCGTGCGGGGCCGTTTGCGGCCCCTTCGCTCTAACGGTGCTGTTGCCAGCCAGAGAATTGCGCACACGGCGAGTCCTCGCAAGCCGAGCATTGGCTGCGGCGCGTAGTCCGATACCCACCGCCATTATCTCTCTCTCTCTCTCTCTCTCTCTTTCTCTCTCTCTCTCTCTCTCTCTCCCCTCCCCCTCTCTTTGTCGCTAGTGTTGCTGTTGTTTGTTTCCTCTATCTCTCTCTCTCTCTCTCTCTTTCTCTCTTTCGTTACTTATTTAGGTATCGCTATTTCTCTCTCTCTCTCTCTCTCCATCTCTACATCTAAATCTGTGTATATATATATATATATACACGTACGTGTGTCGCTCACACTTTCTGTCTCTCTTTCCCTCTCGATCTCCCTGTCTCTGTCTCTCCACCCCCTTGTCTTGATGCTAGGGGGCAAGAAGAGGCTTGTCGTCTGCCCCAGTCCGACTCAAAACAAAAATCCTCCCCTGGCGTCTGGGTCCCCGAACTTCGCGCCCTGGCGCCCTCGAACCACCCACTTGGAGAAGGTAGAGGCCTCCTAGATGGGGTCCGAGTAGATGGTGTCGGAGGATCACGCCGCATCGCCGATACATCGGCGATGCATCGGCGATGCATCGGCGATGCATCGGCGAAGCACTGGCGATGATTCGTCCACGTGGGCGATGCATCGGCGACGCCAGCGTGGAGAAAATCGGGCTACGCATCGCGCCGCATCAACGATGTATCGGCGATGCGGCACGATCTTCCAACCCCATCTACTCCGACCCCATCTGGGAGGCCTAGAGAAGGGCAACCGCTTTGAGCCAGACCGCGACGCGTGAAGCGCGAGGGCTCCGCGCCCCCACCGGTGACTTGGGCCACAGTCTGCAGCAAAGGCGCCAGGCGGCTCAGAAGGGGGCTCCGCAGTCACACAAGACCCGGGCACGAGCGGCGGAGGCGGCAGGAGCGGCGGCCCCCCCTCTCGACTACCTGCCTTTCGTGGTCGACGGGGGGGGGGCAACGCAACAACTCCCTCCCCCTTCCCCCCTCCTTCCTTCCCCCTTTCTGCGTCTCCACCCCGGGCGTGTTTCCCACCCCATGGGATAATTCACGAGTGCGCCAGGCATATTCAGTTTCGGTGTCGAAGCTGTGTATGCCGTTTGGTGTCCCCTTGTTGTTCAGAAATCGAACCCCACGACCGTCAGCAGGAACCACCTCGTCTAGAAGGGAGCGAACCCCTCCCTTCTCCCCCCCCCCTGGGTGAGGACGGTCTTCAGGTCCCACCCGCGAGGACCGTCAATAGGCCTCACACCCCGCGAAGCCCCCCCCCGCCCACACCTTTACACGAAGGCATCACAAGCCACCGGAGAGGGCCGAGGACCTCCCTGCAGCCCCTCGGCCAACGAAGACGGCTGCAGGGAGGGGTTCAACGTACCTCCACACCTGTTCACCTTCACATTATGGCTTCAATTGCCACCCGCTCGATTTCCCAGCCCCCCCCCCCCCGGCAGGAGGGGAATGGGGATGGGGAAGGAGGGGAGGGGAGGAGGAAGGGGATGAGAAAGAACAAGAGGAGGAGGAGGAGGAGGAGGAGGGAGGAGGAGGAGGAGGAGGAGGAGGAGGAGGAGAATACAGAGAATACAGGAGGAAGAGGGAGGAGGTGGAGGAGGAGGAGGAAGGGGAGAAGGACAAGGATGAACGAGGAGGAGGAGCAGGAGCAGGAGGAGGAGCAGGAGGATGAGGGGAAGAAAGACGGATGAGGAGGAAGGACCGTGGAGGAGAATGAGGAGGAGGAGGAGGATGAAGGGTGCAGGGTGGAATCTGTAGACAAGGGAGGGTGGAGGAGGTGGAGGAGCATAGAGAAGAGGATGGAGGAGGATGAAGGAGAAGGGGGAGGAGGGGGAAGAGGAGGATGGAGAAGGAGGAGGGTGGAAGAGGATAGAGGAGGAGGAGGATGATGACGAGGATGGAGGATGGAGCAGGATGATGGGAGGAGGACGACGACGACGAAGACGACGACGAGGCGAGCCAGGGCGCGCGGGGAGTGGCGGCCGCCACGTGCCACTCAGGCGGGCAGGGCGCGCGGCGCGCGGCAGGGAGGAACCTGCGCTCGGCCTCGGTACCCATCGAGCCGCTGAGGCCCAGGATGCTGGCGCGTGGCGGGAGGGGGGCGAGGAAGACGGAGGTGAAGGAAGGAGGGGGGCAGGAGGAGGTGGAGGATGACACGGAGGGAGGGAGAAAGGAGGTAGAGGAGGAGGTGAAGAAGGAGGAGGAAGAGGAGGAGGAGGGAGTAGGGATGAGCGAGGAGGAACGAAGGATGAGGAGGAGGAGGGGAAGGAGGAGGAGGAGGAGGAGGAGGAGGAGGAGGAGAAGGAGGTGGAGAAGGAGGAAGAGGAGGCGGAGGAAAAGGAGGAGGAGGTGGAGGAGGAGGAGAAGGAGGAGGAAGAGGAGGGATGAGGACTGAGGAGGAGGAAGAGGAGGAGAGAGAAGCTGAGGATTAGGATGTGGAGCAGGAGCTACCCCCCCCCTTTCCCTCCCCCCCCTGCTTCAGAAGGCAGCTGCTGGGAGGTCTCCGTAAGAACGTCGAAAGGCGGTAAACAACCAGGAAGGGACCACTCAACCTGATCAGCTCAGGTTGAACACACTGTTAAATCGTGTTCAACTGGATTAAGGTGAGTTATGTGTAACGAAATCGGATTTGGCGGGGTCGAGCAGGTTTTTGAACACGGAATAAAATGAGAGGGAACGATTGGCGGGGACTGGCTCAGGGGGGGGGAATATCGAACTGGAATAGGCGATGCGTCGCCGATCGGTTGGCGATGAGCCTCTGACAGTGAGACCGGCTGGGTGGGCTAGCAGGCCCCCGTCGGTGCTGTGTGGGCGGAAAGGGGTTTATACATCCCCTCTGGGCCAATCTCCGCCTGACGTTGCCCCTGAGGGGCATCAGGGAGACAGCTCATCGTGGAGGGTGCTCGTGGGAACGCCTGAGGGCATATCAGGCCCCGCTGGTTGAGCCAAGAAGCAAGATCAAGACAATAATTCTGTTACAGTCGGGGCGTTGGCCTAAGGAACCCTAAATCAGGAACGAGGCCCTTTTTCCCCAATAAGTGAAACTTCGATTCCCACGGGCAACCTCCGGAAAAACCGAGACAACCTGTAACACAATCAAAAGTACCGAGCCCCTCGCCAACGAAAAAGGGTTCCTTCTTCGGCGCCACGACTGTACAGGGCGGGAGGAAGTTTGACCGACTCGCTTCTGCATTGCTATCCAATGTATGGCGTCACTCCCGGAGGTCCGCGCATACCTCCTGGGTCGGCGCTGGGCAGTTGCAGGCGGCGCCTGCTGCACTGGCCCTCGCGCGCTGCGCGCGCAGGAGTGGGGGACAAGTTGACGCTGTCGGCCAGCTGCTCTTTTGTCGCCTCTCCTTCTGCTGCCACCGTGCTCCGGTAACGAACGCCATGTAAGAAACGAAAATGCTTCACTGTCCGCATCTGGTCTTGATTATGAGTAGGATCCCAAACCCGGATCTGTGGACAGCCCCTGGGGGTCTTCATGGGCACGATTGAATCCTGCGAGCACGAGTGAATGGCCCGCAGGCTGGACGAAGCCAGAATTAGCCCGACCAAGGAGAACTGGCTTGGCGGATCGAGTTCAAGGCAACCCAGGGGAAACAAAGAGGCACTCCTACCGCCACTCCACGCACCTCTCGCAGGGGGAGCTCTGACCCGGTCTCTGGGAAGAACCCAGCCGTGGCGACGAGGGAGTGGTAGCGGTATTGGTATCTATTCTTCCTTTGGAATTCCAGACAAGGCCTCGCCAACGGCACAAAAGTTCGGACCAGCTTTTCGGGAACAACCCAGCCGTGGGGACGAAGGAGTGGTGGCGGTATCGGTATCTCCTCTTCCTCTGAACTCCAGGAAGAGCCTCGCCATCGGCACAAAAGAAGCCTTCACGGCAATCTGCGGAAGGCCGCGGGAGGGAAAACGGCGGCGACGGGCTGGGGCAGATACATATATATATATATATGTGTGTGTGTGTATACACGCATCTCCGAATGTATGTCCAGACGAACACATAGATGTATCCATAACAAACATATAAAAATATGAGTGCGTGTGTGTACTTAACATCATTTATAGTTTTTCAACAAAAAATAAAGCTGTCGGAACCCCGCGGGGAGCTGAGGACCCCTGCCTTGGCGCGCGGAGCCCCGCCAGGGCCATGGCCGGAGGCGCTGCCAGCCGTATCCAGCGCCGACGGGCTCCAGAGCTAAGTTGTGGCAGCTCTGAAGTGCAAACTGTGCGGCGAAGGCTATGTGGTACAAGCCATGTGGTTTAAGCTACATGGTGCAACGTGTGCCATGCAACATATATGGTGCAATCCATGTGATGCAGCACTTCCATTTCTAGTGTATCTATAGAGGTGGTGCACGTTACGTGGCACAACATATGTATATGGTGCAAGCTGTGTCTTGCGAGATATCTGGCTCAACCCATGTTTTGCAGACTATGTGGTGCAAGCAATGCTGTGCCAGCTAGCGCGCGCGGGACGTCTACGAAACGCCCACTGGCGGGCACCCGCAAGAGATCCGGACCTCCTTCCCCGCAGGAGCGCCCACGAGACGCCCCCGGGCGGGAACAAGCCGACACAATCTCACAATAACCTTCCGAATCCTGGGCGCCGCCGAGGCGCTCAAAGGACGGACACCGGGCGGGCGCTTGGTGAAAACCTGAAGCGCACGTGGCTTCGAGCACGAGGCGCTAACGAGACGCTCACGGGCGGCGAACCCCCAGAACATCCATGTGCGAGCACTGCTTGTTCCATAAAAACTGTCCGAGCTCCGCGCTGATTTCCTTGGGCGGCGCTGGAGATGACCTCCCCCTGGCGCGCGGAGCGCGCCAAGGGCGGCGCTGGAGGCGCCACCACGGAGGGTCCAACCTCCAGCGCCGATCAGAGACAGCTGCGAGGGCTTCCTACGTTTACGTAAATGCCGTGCTGCCTACCTGGAGGGAAAAGGACGGACCGATTTGACTCTCCACGCAAAGACCTGGTCACCGAGAATTATTGGACACTAAGCGCCGTGGCCATCGCCAGCCGCCCTGGTGAGGAGGAGCAAGGGCGTTGCGAGAAGATCCTTGACGGGATGCACCAGGATCGAGGATCAAGTCTCATCGATGCTTCGAAAAGCTCTGGAAGGACTCTCGTCGCCATGTCTGGATCTGCCTGGCAATTGGAATCAGAGCTTCCCCATCAAGCGATTGAGAAGAGGAAGATCGCCGTGCTCATGTGAACCCTGCCTTTGCAAGTCATATCTCAAAACCAAAAAAAAAAAAAAACAGAACACGACGGCTGGAGGTAAGAATTTGAAGGACGTCTGCAGCAAAGTGAACCACAGCACTCCGATACCCTCGCGTCGATTGGTCGCGAAGGGGTAGGGGTCGCAAGCGGCCGTAGAGAGGATTAGAGGGGCGCCCTGGCGGCCTCCTCACGTCCACCTCCTGCCCCAGACATCCGGCTGATCCAATTTGTTCGATGCATGGGCCCCGGAGGTCTGGACCACTCGACTGGGGCAGTTTTTCTTGTTCGGAATCGTTTTGTTGGCGGTCTCGAGGCGCGGCGAGGGCCCCCGGAGGCCGAAAACCGGCCAAACACGGCCCGCTCCAATTTTTGTTGGAGCGGCGGATCTCTGGGGGATCCCCTTCCCCAGTCCTTCATCCTTTCCCTGCCAGGCGGCCCCCTCCCCCCTTCCTGCCCTGTCCTGCCCTCGCCCTCTCCGCTCCTCCCCCCCGCCCTCGCCCGCCCCCCCCCCCCCCCCAACACCGCGCGCAGGCTCTCCTCGCGCTCCCCTTCACCCCCTCCCTCCTTCCTCTCCCCTCCACCTCCCCTCCTTGCCCGCCCCCTGCACCTCCCACCCAGCTCTCCTCCACGGCCTCTCCATCTCCCCCCCTCCCCCCATCCCGTCCCCTCCACCTCCTCTCCCCTCCCCTCCCTGCCCTGCCTTGTAACTCGCGTCCTCCCTCGCCCCCCCACCACCACCCCCACGCCCCCACGCGGGACGAGCCGGGACGGCGCTGCGGCGCGCACCGATGGTACTTTCTGAACACGCGCGGCCGCGACATCACAAACAGGCGCTCCTGCGGGTTCTGCGAGGGGCCGGGGCACCGCTGGAGCGCCCGGAGCGCGGCGGCGGAGAGGACGGCAGGAGAGGCGCAGCAGGAATGGGGGCGGAGGGTGCTAAGGGGATAGGGGGGTTGTCAGTGGACGCCAAAGGGTTAGGAGGCAACTACTGGGAGGCCTTCGTCGGAAACGCTAGGGAGGATTAAGACCCGTCGGGAAGCTGTTACGCCAGATTAGGTCGCGGATTAAGCGGGATTAAACCAGATAAGCGGGATGAACCCAGATTAAGCGGGATAAGCCCGGATTTCGCACCAGGGGAAATTAAGAATTCTACCTCCCAGGAGTTGAATCCGAAAAAGGGGTTACACCTGGCCTAACCCAAATTATGAGTAGGTTACACATGCCCCAAATGGCTCAGGGGGATTAGACAACTCCGCGAAGTGGGCGGAGCCCACGTAGCCTGCATCGCTGTCCTCCCCAAGCCAACTGGGGCACTAGCAATCCACCAATAAGCTAGGTTAGGCCAGACATAACTTCTTTTGGCGTCCACTGATAATCCCCCTATCCCCTTAGCAACCCCCGCGCCCATCCCAGAGGGCACGAGGGGTCAACAGAGGGGCGGCGAAAGTGGTGCGGGAGCGGCCGGGCGGGTCGGACACGAGAAGCGCGGCCCGCCAGGGCACCGTTTCTTGGTTGCTGTGGGCGAAGCTGCTCCCAGACCCCCGACGTCGTGTTTTTTTTCCACAGCGTCGACCCCCAGAGGCCTGGACCCCTTCCCCAGGACCGCATCTTCATCCCGAGTCGTTGCTTTGACGGGCCCGAGGCCCAGCGAGGGCCCCCGGAGGCCGGAAATAGCGAACAGCCTCCCGTCGTGATTTTTCACAGCGCGAGGGGGTCTGGGCTCCGAGCTCGGAGGTGGAGGGGCGCGGGCGCTGCAGGCAGCAGATGCAGACACATGGGTCGACGCATATAGGACAAGTGTAGGCGCGTGCTTGCAATGGCCGCGAGAGGCTCCCACCCGGACTTCATTCCCACTGGGTCTCCGGAGGCGTCGAGGAACGACAGTCTTGCGGTCCAAAGCGCGATCAAAAACCAGTGTGAGCAGTCGCGCGGACCGAGGACCACGCCACCGCGCGGGGCAACGAGGAGTCGACGGTCTCCGTGGCCGGGCAGGGGGGCAACGATGGGGGGTAACGGTGAGCCACCGATCTCGGGGGCCGGGCTGCCTCACGGGCCGAGATCATTTGCACGTGCGTTTGCATATACAAGTCGGTGCGGATGTGTAAATATACATATATATATATATGTACACAAATATACACATATGCATGTGCACATGTGCGTGTGTGTGAAGTTGTATGTAGGTGCGTATGTATAGATGGATATGCTTATGATTAGAGGTGTGCTTATGTATGTGGAAGTGTATATGTATGTGTATATATATATATGTGTGTGTATGTGCAACTGTAGATGTACATGTTTAGATGTCTGCATATGTGTGTATATATGTACGCGTGTGTGTATGTTTATGTGTATGAAGGTGTGTTTATGGATGTGCATATGTATATGCATGTTTGTATGTATATACGTGTATGTTGGCATTTGTATGTGCATATACCTGTATGTGTGCATGCACACGCATGTGCATACGTACATGTATATGACTATGTGCCTGCATGTGGATGTGGTTACGCGGATATGCCTGTTTTGTGTAGGTGTATGCAAAACACTAGTTATTTGGATGTATGATACGTACGTGTGTACATGTACGGAGTAGGGAACTATAGGCATGTGCATTTACGTATATGCGTGCTGTGGTGAGCATTCTACTGCAACTGTGTGCCCTGGCACGTTGAGGCGTGGTCGAATGCCAAGTGCTGTCTGGTAGGGCTTCCATCATCTTCTGACGGGCCCCCCCTTCCAGGCCGCACCTCGTGGCGCGCACCAACCATACTCCTGGGGGGCCCCTCGGCGGCCATGGCGCCTCCCTGGGGCCCCCCGGGCTCTCCGGGGCTTCCGTGACGGCCCAGGAGGCTCCCAAGACGGCCCAAGAAGGCCCCGAGTCGCCGAATGATCGCTCGAAGTCGCCCGAGATAGCCTCAATTTTTGATGGCCCCCAGGCCCGAACAACAAGGCCCCAGAGGCCGAAATCAAGGCAAGGCGCCCGGATTGCGGACCATCCGATCGTCGGAGATGTGGGCCCTCGCTCTCTCTCCGGGCGGCATCGGAGTCGCATCGATCCGGAGGAGACGAGGTGAGCCCCGGGAAGCCTCCGCGGCGCCCCGGTGCGGCCAGCGGGGCGCGCGGCGGGGATGTCCTGGTACAGGATCTCGTGGCTGAGGCCCTCCTCACGGAGCGGTGTCGCGCGTCGGGGTGCTCGCGCCCCGCGCGCCACTGGCCGCGCGTCGCCTGCTGCTGACCCGTCGCTGCGTGGCTGCCTGGTGAGCGCTCCTCCCCCGTAACATCAGAGTCGAGCGTATGGGCGCGAGGTGAGGGCGCGAGGACCTTGGACCTTCCAAATTGGACGCCCTCGGCTGTCGAAACTGGCCACGGACTGGCCGAGACGGCAAGGATGCAAAGGCCTCCCTGCGGAAGTACCGCGTCCTCACGTACCATGGATTTCGACTATACCTCGCCCGCCTCCTTCCGTCGTTGGCATGCAAGGTCACGGCGGGAGTCTTATTGGGGCAATTGGCGGCATGTGGTGGCCCTTGCCAGGCTCTGCTGGGATCGTAACAGGAGCACTCGGGAGAAATGCCGGCCTGGGGAAGGAATCTAGACCTCTGGGGGCCCACGCTGTGAGTTCTGGGCCCCTCTCGCCTGGCCCGCCCTCCCTGAGCCGCTGCCGCCGCAGTCGTCGCCGCCGCCGTCGCCGCCGTCGTCTTTGCCGTCGTCGTCGCTGTCGCCGCCAGCCCCCTCTCTTGCTGCACTCCACCGTGCCGTGCCCCCCCTTCTGACAGGGCCGCCAAGCCCAGCCCAGTGAAGCATGCTGCTGGCCAGAACGAAACGAGCTCGATGGACCCTTGCTCTGGCAAGGGCTCCCCGGTATCCAGCTGTGGCAGAAGCAGCCTGGATCCTGGTCAAGCATGGACTGCGCGCGGATCCCAACCCCGAGACTGGCCCACCTGGGATTGGTGCTCCAGCGTGTGGCTGGTGCCCCAGACTGGACAATCCTGTCACGCCTGGCCGCTCTAGCGTCGCCCCACCGCCAGGACCACCGTCCTCCCTCCGAGCCCTGCTCGCCCTATCGCCGCTAGAGGGGCAAGGCGCCAGCGCTGCATTCCTTCTATCCAAGGGCAGCCCCAGGGGTAGCGGCGAGGTCGTATGGCAATGGCCCCCTGCAAACATCACTCCAGAACTCTCAATCCGCATTCCGATTTACTGGCACGTTTGCCATCCTCCTGCTGGGGCAAATCTACAGCAAAGGAGAAGGGAGCATCCTGAAAGTTTCTGCACTCCAGAGCCAGCGACCATGTCTTCGGGTTTGCGCGGCCCGCCTGGCGATGCAGCGACACACGATGCCAACGTCACGTGGAGAATGCACGAGTGCTGAGACATCATTCCTAAATGTGTCATCCGGCATGCGGGCGATGCCCCAACACTCGATTCCTAATCAAATGCTGCTGGCACTCGCACATGTACAGCGCAATCTGAGAAACACATCAGCCTGCTCAACTCCGAGACGAACTGCATGGCCATACCAGAGATGCTCAATGTGGAAACTAAACTAGGCTGCCAGGCTGCCAGACAAAAACATGTGCTCTGACATGTCGCAGGTGCCCGCAGATGCTGCACACATCGGGTGAATTACTAAAGCAAGGCCCCAGATTTGAAGGACGCTGGAACCTGGATAGAGGCTAAGTTCGGCGAAGCAATAGCTCTGATCAGCGCAAGAACAACGCAGCGCGTCTGGCAAGCAGCGGAGATTGAATATCGGGCGACGTCTAGCTGGATCGGCGATGCAGCAGCCGCCAGCCCAGCAGCCACCTGCAGAGCACAGTAGCGCCCGCTCTCCTTCACGTACACAAAGTCGTCGCTGGCCTGCGCGCAGCGTTTCTCATCTCCAGGCGCTGGCCTCCGACTATCTCGAGGCCCCTGCCCTGTCATAAGGGGACAGGGAGAAGAGTGAACAGGGGACACAGGAGAAGGATGGGGACAAATAGGGGAACGAAACAGGACGTAAACATAAAAACTTGGAGATCCGCGCGGATTTCTGGGATCGGCGCTGGAGGCGCCGCCAGGGTGGTCCAGCGCGGATACGAGAAATCCGCTCGGACCTTCGAGTCTTTAAATATATGTCGCTCTTCGTTCCACAAGCAAAGGACAAGGATTAGGTTGGGCATGAACCCGTACAGGCGGATTCTGGCCGAAAGAAGATCAAATCATACCAAACAGATACTGAATATACAAAAAAAGCGTTGCCAGACTAGTCTTTTACGACTTTTGAATACTCCTCTAGAGGGACACGCCCGACTTACGACAAGGACGAAGGAGAAGATGACGAGACGAGGGCCAGCGGAGGCACAGCCTGCATCTGCGAGCCCCGGGCCCACTCGCTGATCATCTCGCGCACCACCCGGGCCGCGGCGGGGTGCTGCTGGGGGCCGGTCCTGCCCGCCGCCCCTGGCCCCCCGCGCGGACGAGAGCCTCGAGGCAGAGGACGAACACGACGACGACGACGAAAAACGGCGACGACGAGGACGAGGACGAGGACGAGGACGACGACCACAACGGCGACAGTGAAGCGGAGCGCACCCCGAGTGCGGGTCCCAAGTAAAATGCAACTTCCAGGAACCGTGCAGGTCGAGCCCGAAAAGCTGCGATGCAATGCAGCATGTCGGGTTGTACTGCCAGGGGGTGCCAGCAGAGACCAGATGGTCGCACGCCGCGGTTTACAGATACGGCCAAGGTTGCACGCCGAGCAACCCGAGCAGGGCTGGCAGATCGGAAATGTCTGCCTGGTGCCGTTCGTATTTCTGCTGTGCCCAGAGTAGCGGCCACCAGCACACCCGTGTACCGCATAAGAAATCTTCTCCAATGCGGCAAGCAGTGCCGCTTCCGTGTGCTGGCGTACTTCGTCGGGTGGTCACCCACTACGCATGCACCCATGACGATCTGCGAGCGTATTTTTGCTTGCTTCAAGAACCGATGCTTCGGGAGCGGGCGCACTCGCAAGGCCCAAACACGTTCCCTGCCTGCCACTTCGCCACGCGGCCAAGCACCTCCGTGACCGCCGTCCACTTCCTCCTTCTCCTCTGCTTCCTCCTCGCCCGAGCCCCGCCCGCTGCCAAGCCCGCGACCACGACGCGCTCGCCCGCGGACCGACCGTGGCATTGAACATTGCACGGCCCATGTCAAGACATCGGGTGCCCAGGTCTGACGTCGAGCCGCGACCCCGCCAGGCGCCGAGACCGCGACGCGTTGCCGAAGGAAGCGCAGCTTGGCGGGGCGGTGTCCTGCCGATGGGCGTGCTCTGCGGAGGAGGCCGAGGGGGCATGCAGGCGCCGGGGTCTCCGCTGCGACGCGTCGGGCACCGCAGCGCCGAAGAGAACGAAGCCGTGCAACAGGACAGTGCGTACCGCACGCGCAGACTTGCCTCACAGCATGATGTTCCAAGCTACTGTAGCCTTGACCACCAGAAAGAACTTCAAGCACCAAGAAAGCACCGACTTTGATTGTTTCCATGTGTCGGGTCCTGGAAGTCGATACCCGCTCGACACTGTTTCGATACTTTCCTGGGTGCTCGGAGTTACTTCTGGGATGCGGACCTGAGGTACGATGGGAGCATAGTGAGCCTCACGCCACCCCGTGCCGTGATATCCGTGGCCCATGGGCCCGAGCGCGCGCGTCGTGGCCGTGGGCACAGATCCTGCAGAGGCTCGGGCGGCAAAGCGCCGTCTCACACACACACACACAGGAGCGCGAACGCAGCGAGGGAGGGGGAGGAACCAACGGGAGGAAAAGCGAAGTCTGGGACATTGAACACAGACATGCTCGTCGTCGTCGTCGTCGTCGTCGTCGTCGTCGTCGTCGTCCACGGTCGGCGGCACCGGCTGGAAGGCCCCTCCAATACAGACGTTGTGAGAGGCCAGGGGCCGAACCGCACACGAAAAAGAGCGGGGCAGGGAAAAAGAGAGAGAGAGAGAAGGTGTCCTTTCTGAAACCACGGGCGCACAAAGTCAATCAAGCACACAGGGGCGACAACAGGCAGGCACAACCAAGTATTAAGGCAGTCGTGTCCCGGCGGAACTCAACATGCATGCACCTTGGAAGAAGTGGGAGGCAAGAACTGTGCACCCGTTTCTACTGCGCTCGGGCGAGACACTAGAGCGCAAGGAAACGGACAGGGCGAGGAGGGGAAGGGAAGGTGCAGAGATGAGCAAGACAACGGTGCCACGACCCGCTGCGAGCACCAGGCACCGCACCGCCAGCAGGCGTGCGGAGAGGATAGCACCAACATGGTCACGCCAAGTGGTCAGCTTAGCAGGAACGACCAGGAACCAGACATGCGAAAGAGAGAGGCGGAGGGAAACTGCCGGCCAAACACATTGCGTAGCTGGCTTCCTGCTTGGTTCGCTCCCACAGCGACCCCGCCCACGCTCCCCAGCAAGACTCTCCACTCGAAACCGCTGCCACACCCTTAGCCTAACCGTCCGCTTTGCCAACGTCGCACTCGAATTCCTCCTTCCTTTCTTTTGCACGACCGTCTCCCCTTCCTCCGCCCCATTCCATCCACTCTCGCTCATTCGCCACTTGTGACACACCCAGCGCACCACCCGCGACCCACCGACACTGCTTCGACGAGAAACTCGGCGCCTGCGGCGAGCACACTGCAGAATCTTTGAACATAAATCTGGCGCCTGCGGACTTCCAGAGCCTCGCAGACTGCCGACGACCCCGCCGTCCCCTCGCTCTGATCCGCGGCTGCGGGGGGCTGCACATCTTGTCGCAGCGATGGCGATCGCACGCCGCACTCGGAGCACAAGCGGGGGGCCACTGCCAGGAGACTGGCGCAAAAACGACAGGTGCGGAAGCGAAGGAGGGCGGCCGCAGAGAGGAGGGCGAGGCACGGCGACGCACCCAGACCGTGGCGGAGCCTGGGCGAGGTAGAGAAGCGACGCCCGCACATCCGAGGGGAAACTGGGAAGCGCGAGATCTGTCAAGACAGGCGTGCGTTGAAGAGCGGGGGCGGGGCCCCTTGGCGCAACCTCTTTTTCGACTCCGTTTCTCGGCCGCTCCGAAGCACAACAGCGGCCCCCGCCCTGCTGCGACAGCTGTTCTGCACTACCGCCGTCGTGGACGACCCCTCCGTTCTCGACGCACACAGAAGAGGGCGCCTCTCGGCAAGGGCCGAGTTCCCAACAGGTGCCATGCAGCTCCAGCCCGTTTTCCACAGAAGCAGTCTGGAATCCAAACTCGGCCGCACGAGGGACTGCTCCATGGCTGCTGTCGGCGCAGCCGTCCCCGAAGCCGACCCGGAGCTCTCTGCGTCGGCGGTGCCGCCGGCGGTGGCCGCGGGCCGCCCCCGCCGCTGGAGGCCCGCGGTGCGCACCGCACTGGCGGCGGCCACGGCGGCCGCGCGATCGGCGCGCCGGGCTCTCGCTCCAGCCCAGAGGCTGGCGCGCCCCTCGCCGCTCAGGGGCGGGGTGCTCAGGTCAGGTCGGGCATGTCCCCCTACAGGCGGATTTCCGACGAAAAAAACAGAAGTACCCAAAACAGAGTCAAAGTAATAAAAAGCAATCACACATTTTCGACTTCCTGTCAAGGGACATGCCCGACTCAATGCTCAGGGACGCGGGCCCCTGGAGCCGTCCTTTCGGACGCCCCCCCCCCCCGGGCCCACGGAAGGCCCAGGGGGCCGCAAGCGGCGGAAGACTCCCCAGCACACTGCCTCAAGGACCCGTCTCTCTCTCATGCGGGCTCCCTCCCTCCACGCGCGCTGCCCTCCGTGCGGCCGCCCACCCCACCCTCCCCCTCCTCCTCCCCCTCCTCCCCCTCCTCCTCCTCCTCCTCCTCCTCCTCATCGTCCTCGTCCTCGTTCTCTTTCTCCTCTCCTCACCTCTCCTCCTCCCCCCTCCCTTCCCCTTCTCACGCGCCCTCCCTCGCTCCACATGCCGTGCAGCTGCTCCGGCGAGGCTCCACCTTGCAGGGGGGGGGGCACGGTGGAGGCAGAGCGAGCAGGGGCGAGGAAAGGGGAGGCGACGCTCTGGGCAATGTGGGCACCCAAGGGTTGAAGCCGTGCTGCCTCCCAAATCGGTCTTCTCTCTCTCTCTCTCTTTCCTATCCCCTGTCCCTGTTGCACCATCGGGCGACCCCTCCCTCTCTCCTAATCACCCTGTCCATGTTAGTTATCAACGCACTCTGTCTCTTCCTGTTTCCCCAATATATTGCCTTTTCCGCATTCCCTCCCCCCCTCTCCCTCCCTCTTCGCCTCACCCCTTCTCTTTCTAACTATGTTTGTTTGTTGTTGTTGTTTTTGTTTCTCTCTCTCTCTCTCTCTCTCCCCCTTGTTTGTTGTTCTCTCTCGCTCGTTTCCTCTCTCTGTTTCCCTCCCTCTCTTTGCACATGTATGAGCTATACATATACGACAACACTTCGGGTGATCAGGATGTTGCGGGCAAAACAACCAACTGATGGCAATAGTGGTGGTTGTGATATCACAACCACCACTATGAGGACGATGCCAGTGATGAGGACGATGCCAGTTATGCGTATTCGGGTTACGCGTGATGATAATGCTGGTTGCGATGAGTGCTGTCGTTCGTCATCCCACCTGGCGCGTGGCGCGCTCCAGACATCCGTTGTGGTGGACCTCCTGTCGTTCTCACGACCGTGCTCACACGAGATCTCACTATCGATGGAGGTCCCATGATCACTCTCATCAAGAATTCCGCTACGAGTGACTCACGACGATCTACGATGTTACTACACATGTCAATTTCGACCTCAATCGATCTCACAATCGATCTCACAACTGATCTCACCATCGGTCTAACGATCAATCTCAAAACAATTCTCACGATCAGTCGCACAATCGATCTCACAATCGATCTCATGATCGATGTCACTGCCGATCCCGTTATAGATCTCACAAGCGATCTCACGATCGATCTAAGAACCAATCTCACTATCGATCTCACAACGCATCCCACGATCGATCTCCCAAACGATCTAACTATCGAGCTCGCCGCCCTGCTCCGGGACACGGACTCGCGCCACACTGCTGCGGGACACGGAAAACCGACGGGACTCCGACGGGAATTCGACACGCCACCGACGGGATACTCCCAGCCACGGCGAGCAAGGGGAGCAGGGGGCAGACAACTGGCTCCACAGCCCCTGGCCACGGCGGCATCATTCCTCTCGCGCGCCCACGCAGCTTCGCCGCGCCCGCACGCACGACCCGAGCACGAAACCGAAACCGATTTTCCCGTGGGGGGGGGGCTCTCCGTTCCACTGCGACCTCACCCCCCACACCTCCGGTCCCGCCCCTTCCCCCCTCTCCGCGTTCCCGTGCCATTCTCTTCATGTCTTCATTATCCTTTTCCCTCTCCCGATGTATGTCCCTCTCTGTCTTCTCTCGCCGTCTTCCCGCCCCTTCCCCCTCTCCGTCTTCCCGTGCCCTTTTTCTGTCCACGGTTCCCCCTGGTCCCTCGCCCTCTCCCGATGCATACCATCCCTCCCCCGCTCTGCCGCCCCAGCTGGCCGCCACGAGGCGGGGGCTCCCCCCGCGCCTTCTCACAGCCCACCTCCAACAAGGCAGCACGCCCCCACGCAGAGCAGCACCCTCCCGCAAAACACAAAGAAAACCAGAAGAACGGGCCGGATGGCCCCCCCCCCCCCTGCTCCCCAACCGCCCGATGTTGGACCGTGCCCACATTGGCATCGTGCCAGTACCCGTCGACAGAGACGATCGCATCCTCGTTTGAACCGAAGGGAGAAAGGCGGGGCTTTCTCAGAAGGCTCGGAAGCCCCCCGGCCATCTGGAAAGTCCCCTGCGCCTTCCCCGAAGACACAGCAGACCTCTCAGAGAGCCCGAGCGCTTCTGAGAAGCCCCCCGCCTTCGGAGACGGCACTCTTCTTCTCACTTTCCGCCCCTCGCTGCACGGTTTCCCCCGGGGCCGTAGGCGACCCGAGGAGGAGGAGGAGGAGGAGAAGCAGGAGGAGGAGGCGCAGGAGGAGCAGGAGGAGGGAGGCGGAGGCGGAGGAGGATTAGGAGGAGGATTAGGAGGAGGAGGAGGAGGAGGAGGAGGAGGAGGAGGAGGAGGAGGAGGGGTCGCTTTAGCCCTTGCTCGCTCGCCGCCGAGATGTATATGCAGAACGGCAGGGCCACCGCCCGGAGGATCGACCTCCGGGAGCCTCGGCTGCCCTCCCCTCCTTCTGGGCCCGAAGCTGTCCGCATCCGCCGCCTGCTACAGTCGGGGCGTTGACCTAAGGAACCCAAAATAAGGAACGAGGCATTGCTCCGCCTTCAATCAAACTTCGATTTTGCATGGGAAACCTCAGGGAAACCTGAGGCAAACTGTTAAACAATCAAGGGACACCGAGCCCCACCCGAACGAAAAGGCTTCCTTCTTCAGCGCCCCGACTATGCGGTCCACGCGGTGGCTCGGCCATGTGACGAACCACCGGATGCACCACTCCCTCCCGGCAGCTCCCCAGGGGCTCCTGCACAGGCGCATACGCTGGCACATTCTGCTCGCCGCGCTCTCGGCGCCTCTGCAGCCCTGGCGAGCAAGCCCTCGGCTGCGGCCGTGTGCTGCCGTGCCGCGCCCGCTGCCCTGGTGCCACAGCCCCGGCTGGCAGCCACCGGCGCGCTCGCCGTGAAATCCCTTTCCTCCGTGAGTGCCCTCCCCCGCTCGGCTCCCTCCGCGGCCGCCGTGCCCTCCCGCGTCGCCTCTCTTGCATCCAGACAGTTAACTAGCTAGTCGTGTGTTCGCGTCATCTGCGAGTGCCCGTGCGGATTGCCTCTGCCGAGCTGCCTCGGAAAAAAGTGTTGTTTCACAACGTGACCCCCCCGGATATCTGGACGGACCAGGTTTTGATTCTGGATTCCGGATCGCTTCTTGACGGTCCTGGGGCCCGGCGAAGGACCTCGGAGGCAGAACACCGAAAACCTGCGAGAACCGACGAAGATGCCTGAGCACCTCAGACTCTCCGAACTTCACGTGGCCCGACGCCAGAAAACAGCGCCGAGCGAAACATCAGGACTGGAACCCTGGACCCCCCTCTTTCTGCTGCACTTGTCGCGCTCAGATGGATCTGTGATGGCCCCGGCGCACGAGACCGGGCGAGAACGCCCGTCCGAGGGCCTCGGACCTCGAACCTCCAAGCCCCCCACAGCCCCGGAGAACGTCCCGGTGGCGCCCGTCTCGTGCACAATGTCGGGGACGCACTGGCCCGGGTCACCGCAGACCCAGGTGTCGGTCGGCCTTGGCAGGATCCTGCAAGGTCTCGCACACAAAACTGGGTCAGTGCACCCCTGGCTCCCCAGACACCCGACGTCGTTATTTTTCATGACGTGACCCCGAGGAGCCTGGACCCCTTCCCGGGGACCGGTTATTCATCCTGAGTCGTTCTTTGATGGTCCCGAGGCCCGGCGAGGGCCCCTGGAAGCCGAAGATGGCGAAAAACCTCTGTCGTGATTTTTTAACAGCGCGAGGAAATCTGGACTGGCTCTGCAAGATCCTGCAGGGTCTGGCGTTCTGGCTGACCTCCGTTTGCACCGTCTCGGGGCTCTGGAACGGGTGGCGCTCTGGCCCCACCGGTGGGGGGCCCTCCGCGGAGCCTCCGGGCGCCGGGCCGATCGGGAGCCTCCGCCGAGCACACGGGGCTCCGGCCTTGCTCCTCCCTCCTCGCTCCTCGTCGCAGGCGAAACACCTATTCCTCGCTCATCCTCGCTCCTCGCTGCTCCTCGCTCCTCCTCCTCCTCCTCCTCCTCCTCCTCCTCCTCCTCCTCCTCCTCCTCCTGCTCCTGCTCCTACTCCTCATGCTCCTCATGCTCCTCATGCTCCTCCTCCTCCTCCTCCTCCTCCTCCACCTCCTCCTCCTCCTCCTCCTCCTCCTCCTCCTCCTCCTCCTCCACCTCCTCCTCCTCCTCCTCCTCCTCACTCCTCACTCCTCCTCGCGCCTCATCGCTCCTCGTTCGCTCCTCGCTCCTCCTCGCTCTTCCTCGCTCCTCCTCGCTCCTCGCTCGCTTCTTTTCGCTCCTCCTCGCTCCTCGCTGCTCCTCTTCGCTCCTGGCCCCTCGTCGTGGGCGACAGAAACACACACCCGTATCCCCGCGGCCCCGAGAGGGCCAAGCCCCCCTGCGACCCCGCGGATATACGGGAGCGTTTTCTAGCGGCTGCCCCGCGCGGAGCGTATCCGTGCGACAACGTACCCGTGGGTGGCGCAGGCATAGACGGTCGGAGGTCCACGCGGACCTTCGTGGATCGGCGCTGGGCCCCCCCTCCCTGGCGCGCGCCAGGGGCGGCGCCAAAGAGGCGCCGCCAGGGGGGGGACCCTGCGCCGACCCAGGATATCTGCGTGGACCTGGGGCAGGTTGTGTTTGTTCCTCTCCGGGAGAGGGCGAAATCTTGGCACGAATCGGTTCAGGATATGCATCCGGATTTCCAGAGTATCTCGAGGCGTTCGTTGTTGGAGCTCTGGTAGAAGTGAAAAACAGGGAACCCCAGAAATCTCGGAAGTCTTGAATTGAATCATGACTGTGGTTTCTTGCTCCTCTGATGCTTGCCCCTCCTTATCCACATCGGAGGAATAAGGAAAGTGCGTAAACACAACGTGTCTGAGGTCATCGCGAAATTCTCGGGTCATCGCCGAGCCCCTATGCCGTCGCCCACGGCGCCGCCCCTGGCGCGCTCCGCGCGCCCGGGATTGGGGCTTAGTGCAAATCCAAGAAATTCGCGGGGGCCTCTGAAAGTTGATGGTTGTGCAGACTTGTTGCTCTTCGACTCCACCTGTCCCAGCTCTGTTCCAATCTCGGCCGGGCGGCCCGCTGACCTTTCAGGGCCTGAGCCACTCGCGTGGCCATCTGGCTCAACTCCTGGGCGCAGAGGGGGCAGCGAGGGTGTCAAGGGCGCGGGCGATCGTCCTGGCGCGCATGGTGCTCACCGAAAACACGCAGTCCGCCCGAGGAGGTGCGCAAAGTGTACCAAGCTGAAGCCGATGTGCCCGACTGGAGAGGCGACCCTTGCGCGCTCCGAGAGATCGGGGCCCCAACACGACGCAACCTCGATGACGACCTCGGGGACCTCGACCGGCGACGACAACTGGCGGAACGACAAACAAGTGGTACGCGCGCCATGGCTCTTGCACAGAAAGGAAAGGGGGAGGAGGCGGAGGGGGAGCGCTGGCTGGTGAATGTGATGGAGGGGGCGCTCGGGATGGGGGTGTCGGGGCGGAGGGGGGCGCGTTGGCTGGTGGATGGGGGGATGCGGAGGGGGCGCTCGGGGTGGGGGGGCGGTGCCGTACCGAGATGAATGGGTCAGGGCGGAGGGGGCGGTGCCGCGCCAAAACAAATGGGTCTGGGCGGAGGGGGCGCGCTGGCTGAAGGGTGGGGGGGTTGCGGAGTGGGCGCGCGCGGAGGGGGCGGAGGGGGCGGTGCCGCGCCAAAATAAAGGAGTCGGGTCGGAGGGATGCGCCGTGCCGAAATTAAAAATGGGTCGCGGCGGAGGGGCGCGCTGGCTTGTGAGTGGGTGGGTGGGTGGGGGGGGCGTAATAGAGGGGTCGGGGCGGAGAGGCGCGCTGGCTGGTGGGTGGGGGGGATGCGGAGGGGGCGCGCGGGGCGCGCGTGGGAGGGAGTGGGGGCCGTGCCGAAATAAAGGGGTCGCGGGGCGGAGGGGGCGCGCTGGCCGGTAAGTGGGGGGATGCGGGGGGGGGGCCGTGCCGACATAAAGGGGTCGGGGCGGAGGGGCGCGCTGGCTGGTGGGTGGGGGGGATGCAGAGGGGGTTTGCCGTGCCGGAATAAAGGGGTTCGGGGCGGAGGGGTGTGCCGTGCCGGAATAAAGGGGGGCGGAGGGCGCGCTGGCTGGTGGGTGGGGGGGGATGCAGAGGGGGTGTGCCGTGCCGAAATAAAGGGGTCGGGGCGAAGGTGGCGCGCGGGGGGGGGCGTGCCGAAATAAAGGGGTCGGGACGGAGGGGGCGCGCTGGCTGGTGGGTGGTGGGATGCGAGGGGGGGGGCCGTGCCGAAAGAAAGTTGTCGGGGAGAGGGGGCGCGCTGGCTGGTGGGTGGTGGGATGCGGGGGGGGTGTGCCGTGCCGAAATAAAAAGGGGTCGGGGCGGGGGGGCGCGCTGGCTGGTGGGTGGGTGGGATGCGGAGGGGGTGCGCCGTGCCGAAATAAAAGGGGGTCGGAGCGGAGGGGTGTGCCGTGCCGAAAGAAACGGGGTCGGGGCGGAGAGGGGCGCTGACTGGTGGAATGTGGGTGATGGAGGGGGTGCCGTGCCGAAATAATGTGGTCGGAGCTCTAGACACCCTTTGCAAGATAATCAAAAGTTGTGACAACGGAGACCGCGTAAGAAGTGTTGATTGTTTCCCGTTAGGCAGCGGGGCTCCGGGACAATGGTGGATTGGATGCCAATGCGGGAGTTTCTGGTGCCTCCATCCTCGCCTTTTTCACTGACACCGGCAAGTGGCGATTTCGCTCAGGTCTTCCCCCAAATGTCTGGTTGCTCTTTATGTTGCCAGAAGGTTACGATGTTCCTTGGGATTTTCTGACAGTTGAGCTTCTTCAGGCCGATCGCCACTTTTGAATCCAGGGGTTTGCGTGAGAAGGCACACGCCTAGATGATCTTTAGATGTTGGACGGAGTTTGGCCTCTTTGGGGCTCCAAAGCTACCTGAACCCGTCTTGGAGCGGTCACCTCTTGGAGCATGTTGGAAGCCATTTTGAGCGACCTCGCGCTACCTTCAACCATTTTGGAGGCCATCTCATCTTTGGCTGGAGTAAACGGACCATTTGAGACCTCGCAGCTCCCTTGGCGGCTGCGGACTGCGCAATCGTCGCCACTTTCGTGGGCTCCTTGGAGGCGTGGCGGAGACGGGGAGTAAACGGATCATTTGAGACTTCGCAGCTCCTTGGGTGGCTAGGAACTGCGCAACGGACACCATTTTCGTGGGCTCCTGGGAGGCACGGCGGAGTCTGGGAGCAAGCGGACCTTTTGAGACCTCGCCCCCCCTGGTGACTGTGCAACTGTTGCCACTTTCGTGGGCTCCTGGGAGGCATGCCGGTGCCGAGGTGTAAACGGACAATTTGAGACTTCGCAGCTCCTTGGGCGGCTGCGAACCGCGCAATTGTCGCCAGCTTCGTTGGCTCCTGGGAGGCACGCCCGAGTCGGTGAGCACGCGGACCATCTGAGACTTCGCAGCTCCCTGGGTGGCTGCGAACTGTGCAACTGTTGCCACTTTCGTCGGCTCGTGGGAGGCACGTCGGTGCCGAGGAGTAAACGGGTCATTTGAAATCTCGCAGCTCCTTGGGCGGCTGCGAAACGCAAAACTGTCGCCGCTTTCGTGTGCTCTTGTGAGGCACGGCGGAGTCGGGGAGTAGACGGAACATTCGAGACCTCGTAGTTCCCTGGGGGCTGCGAACTGCGCAAGTGTTGCCACTTCCGCGCGCTCCTGGGAGGCACGGCGGAGTCGGAGTCGGGGAGTAGAGGGACCCATTTGAGACCTCGCAGCTCCTTGGGTGGCTGCAGACTTTGCAACTGTCGCCACTTTCCGTCGGCTCCTGGGAGGCACGGCGGAGTCGGGGAGTAACCGGACCATTTGAGACCTCGCAGCTCCCTTGGCGGCTGCGAACCGCGCAGCTGTCGCCACTCTCGTGGGCTCCTGGGAAGCACGGCGGAGTGGGGGAGTACGCGCATCCAGCCAAGACTGCGCGGCTCCCTGGGTGGCCGTGAGCTGCGCCACCGTTGACATTTTCGTGGGCTCTCAGGAGGCTCGGGGATGGACAGACCGCCTACCCTGACACGTCGATTAAGGAGTTGGCCGTTGTCAGTTCGCGAGGGGGCGTCGCGGCCGTCATTTTGCGGGTCCAGGTCCGTCGGTTCCGGTCCCAGGCCGTTTTCACTAAAGGGAGGTTTACTACTAAAGGGAGGTTTGTCCACCGCCGAGAGGCACGGCGGAGTGGGGGAGTGCGCGCATCCAGCAGGGATTGCGCAGCTCCCTGGCTGGCTGCAAGCGTCGCCATTTTCGCGGCTTCCTGGGAGGCCCAGCGGTGTGGGGGAGTACGCACGTCCAGCCGAGACCTCGCGGCTCCCTGGGGAGTTACATTGCGTAATTGTTGCCACTGCTGTGGTCTTCTGGCGGGTCCAGCGGAGCAGGGTGTCCTTGCAACGTGTTCGTTTGTATGGGGGGTTGGGTACGTCTCGTGTATGTTTTTGCCGTTGGCCCCATGCCCCGTGCCACATGGGGCAAGGCCCCAAACGCTTTATAGCCGACTCCTAGAAGACGCCCCTTGGGTGCCTCATTTCTTGTGAGCATCCCGAAGGTTTCCTGGGAATTCCTCAGGAGAATTCGCGAGGATTCGGAAGGATGCCTGAGGGTTCCTTGGGCGTTTCGAGGATTCCGAGGGCATTCCTATGGATGCCGAGGGAATCCTTCGGATTCTTGATGTTTTCTTAGGGGATCATGCAGATTCCTCCAGGTTCCTGCGGATTGCTGTGGATCCGTGAGGGTTCTTGAGGATCCCTCTGGGATTCTTGAAGATTCCTGCAGGTCTCTCCAGGCTTCCAGAGGGATTCCTGATGATTCGTGGGGGATTCCACAAGGGCGCGCCGGCATATCGGTCCCCTTGCTTTTCTTGTGAACCTCATCATCTGAATTGCCTCATTTCAAACGTGGCACATCCTCGCATATGTATGTCTGTGTCTGCGCATGCAGCCGAGCAATGCAACACGTGCACGCGCATTCTTTTCAAACCCCCGTAAGCTCAGTGAAGGCAAGCGCGAGCGACTTAGACATCCCCCAACCAGACATAAGTGCCGGCGCCTAGTCAAATCACCTGCGCGCGTCGCAAGCCTCCGCCTGCCACGGCTGCTTTCCATCGAGTCGGTGCCAATCCCTTGGCGTGCAATGCATTTTGTTACATCGGCTTGGATTGCAACCGCCCTAGTCTCCTTGTTGTGAACGATTTCAACGCGAATTCTTATTTGGATGATTTCTATAGGAATCCTTCTGTGGAGGATTTCAATCGGAATAGTTGTGTGGAGGATTTCAACAGGATCTTTCTGTGGAGGATTTCCATAGGAATCCTTACGTGGATGATTTCCTCCTTCCTCCTCCTCCTCATCCGCCTCATTTTTCCTCACCCTCCTCATCCGCCTACTTTTCCTTCGTGTGAAAGGTTTCACTCGGAACCCTGCTGTGGAGGGTTTCACTAGGAATCCTTCTGTGGCGGCTTTCAGTAAGAACATTCCTCGTCCGCCTCATCTTCCCCCTCCTCCTCCTCCTCCTCATCCGCCTCATTATGATTTTTGTCGAGGGTTTCAATCGGAATCCTTTGAGAAGGGGGCAGGATGAAAGGGCGAAGAGAAGGAGCAGGAGGAGGAAAAGGAGGAGGAGGAGGAGGAGGACGAGGCGGATGAGGAGCGCGACGAAGGTGAGGCGCAACATATTGCTCACAAAACTGCTTGTGGAGCTGCGTTCACAACTCGGTTTGTGAGTGACGCCTGGGAGCGGAGAGGACCGGGCAGGATAAACAGGAGGGGGAGAAGGAGGAGGAGGAGGAGACGGGTGCGGATAAGGACAGTATGACCGCGAGCCCATGTCTTAGCAGGGTGGGGAGTAAGAAGAGGAGGGTGAGGAGGATGATGAAGATGAGGAGGAACACATTACTCACAAAAGTAGTTGTGGAGCCGCGTTCACATATAGTTCTGTGAGTAATGTCTCGTGGCGGGAGGTTATTCGTAAATCTAGTTGTGGAGCTGCGTTCACATCAAGATTTGTGAGTGACGCCCCGAAGTGGAGAGGAGCGAGGATGAGGAGGGTGCGGAGGAAGAAGAGGAGGGTGAGGAGCATGACGAAGGTGAGGAGGAACACATTACTCAC